AATACCCTCTCAAAATAACACACCTTGCTCAATAAATTTTACACATCTTTACAAACTGTTTCTTAAAATACAATTTTCAAACATCATACTCATGCTGTTTCTACAGTAAAGTTTCCTTTCTATATTTTTAACTTGACAGCATGCATCAAAGAATATATCTTTGCTTGAGGTGTTTTTATTGTATTTTCAGTCTTCTCCATATCAGTAATATATAATTATGTGTTTTTTATGTTTAATTTTAATACTACCAACTGAATGAAAAGTAACTGTAGGCATTCTTTAATTCTAACAATGTCTTGCATAAAATTTATCATACAGTTCTGAATTTTCAACAAAGAAGCTTTTCAAAGAAGAAAGAAGAGCTAATTTTAGAAATCAATTTTATGCTGACTTTTTGCAATTAGAATGGAATTCCAAAATTTAATACAAATCAATATTAACATGTATTTTTCACATGTGCAATCTTCTACAATATTGAAGTCCATGCATGTAAGAAGGTATGCTTAATTCTATAAATGGTATAATGTTTTAGCTTAATCATTAATTTTGCCCCCATCTGTCTGTATAAGCATGTTACTCATAAATCAATATAATTACATGACATAGTGTGCAAATATAACATGTATATGATCTGTAGACAAACATAAAAGGGTATAAAAACAGAGAAACTTCCTTATGTGTAAAACCTTAATACATTAAGTTATTTATAGATTGTTAACAAAATGAATTATCATGCTTTGCTTCCTTAAATATGAGTATTAACTTTAATAATATTGTACCTATCAAGGCCACATGGATATAATAAGAAAAGAAAAGTGTTCTGTATTATATGAATAAAATCTTTAAAGTATGAGAAATTACGAAATCGCTATAAGGGTTTATTAAAACTAATTTTTGTTTGTAAACACAGGTACATAAATTTAAGAAAACTTTACAATGATCCATTTATAATAAGCATTATTATACAGTTTATTTGATTGGATGCAAATTTGAGTTTTACAAAAAGGTTAAAATGTGTGAATTATTGAAATAACGGCACAATGTTGAAAAAATATCATACACTTCACAGATGATCTACAACTGTTTTTTGTAAGTTTTCTCAACATGTCATTAACCCCTGAATCATCAAGCCAAGTGGTACTCACTTGATACTATAATATGTGGCACTACCAACATCAATGCTTTTTAACTTAAAACTCATCTCAAAAAGCTATTTATATATACTTCTCAAATAGGAAATAGCTCTTAATTCATTAGCTAATGTTAGTTGTTACACAGTCAACATTCATATTCATAAGACTTTATGAGTTTATGACTGTATCATACTTAAGCCATAGGTCGGATATAATTGTAATCACATTTTGATCAAATTCTAGCCACTGAGATGATACAATATTATATAATGAGCCAATAGAAAGTAATGAAATTAATTCTTTATTTAATTTTTATACTACAATGGATAAACAAAAAAGGAGGTTTTTATTAAGTTATCTTCACTTTATTTTCTATTTAATGTAGTAGTTTTAGTGTTTTACTGCTTAATTAGTAAAGAGACAATAGCATCCCAGGATTGTCGAAGTAGAGCAATAACAACATCACATTTAGTACAATGTGAAAACATCATATTAAGCAAACCGTTTGACTCTTATGCAAGTTAAAGAAGCATGTAGCATTTAAGGGGTTTGCCTAAAATACGAAAGTGAGATTTTTGACGAAAGTGAGCGAAAGTGAGCGAAAGTGACTTTTAAAATATTAATTGTAACGTTTTAATAGACTTTTACAATAAAATTGCAGTTTGTAGACGTATATTATTAGAAATTACTTATATTTATTATAAAAAATAATCATAATAATGATTTATTCGGTTTTTATTTGCATAATTTATATACACAAATTCTTATATCTTCCTTTCGCTTACATTGAAAAATACGAAAGTGACTTATAAAATATACCGTTTAAATTGAAATTATTTTTACTAATATTGCACAAATTGGACGTATAATATCAGAAAATGATAATATTTACTTTCAAAGATAATCATTATGATGATTATATTGCCATTTATTTTGCATAATCTCTAACACAAGTTATATACAGAGATCTTCCTTTCGCTTGTATTGAAAAATACGAAAGTGGCATACAAAATATCAGATATACTGTTTAAATTGAATGTATTACTAAAATTGCAATTAATTTGTAGACGTACAATATCAGAAGTCAATTATATTTATTTTTAAAAAAAATCATTATGATGATTTAACCGCCCTTTATTTGCATTACACAAGTTAAAAGATCTTCCTTTCCCTTACATTGAAAAATACGAAAGTGACTTCAAAAATGTCAAATATAGCGCTGAAAGACGCATGTTTTCAGAAATGATTAAAATCTATTAAAAAAATCATTATGATGATTTAATATCCATGTATTTTCATAATTGCTGTATACCTGTTCTGATATCTTACTTTTGCCCACATTGAACGATACGAAAGTGACTTAATCGAACGAAAGTCAATGTCAATATTCACGATATTAATGTTTTTTATAATAAAAAAAACAAATGAGTCATTTTCATTATTATTCATGTTTTCATGGTGATTGACCTATAAGTGATGATAAAAATGACTAGCACAAAATGTAAAAAAAAAATCCTAACTTATAAAAAGATTGAACTTTACCGATATATATAGTACGATATTTATAGAAAATTCCGTGGATTACTTATTTCCTTTTTTCCATAGTGAAATATTATTTTAACAATGATGGGAAATTCCAAATTATTTTTCAAATTAACATGTACATTGCTCATGTACACCTGGATGAGCATAATAACTGCCACTTTAATCCGTGCAAGATATCTATGGTTGTGCAGAAGAAAGGTTAATAAAATTGTCCACTCAATAAACAACCGGGCAAGTGTCATCAGTTACATACCTATGATTGGATTATAATAATACTTTAGTGGGATTAAAGCGTCATGCGGTCACCGTCGTGTGTACTATCAATTAAAGTGGATGCGAAAATGATATGACAACACGTGTTTGCATGTAAACATATTCATACTTTATTTTGTCTCATTCAAATACATGCATTTTCAAACATATATACAACTATTCACTTAAAACCTACATTACACCACGGATTTATATTACATTAGAATCAAACAGTATTATTACAATATAATATATAAACAGAATATTAAATGTTAGGTAACACCATCTTAAATTTAATCAAAAATTAAAAACTGCCCGAAAAAGACGATGTAAGAAATAGAGAACTGTAAATCGGGGCCCTAACGCATAAATTGTATAATTCATGTTTTTGCCAATTATAGTTTACATATTCATCTTAACATATTTAGTTTTATAAAAATGATAGTTACTATAGCTTATAACATACGTCTACAAACTGCAATATTATCATGAAATTCTATTTCAACGCTATATTTAATATTCTGTAAGTCACTTTCGTCAGGCTCACAGAAAGTGAAAGGAAGATCAATGTCTTATCCTGTGTATAAATATTATGCTAATAAATGAAGATCAAATCATATTGATTAAAGATACTAGTTATGATAATATACGTCTACAAACTGCATTATTAATATTAAATGAAATTTAAACGCTATATTTGATATTTTTAAAATCACTTTCGCTTCCTCTCCCTAACATTGAAAATACGAAAGTGAGCGAAAGTAAGATCTCTGATATTGCTATATAGAAATAAAGAAAATGCATGAATATTAAAACCTCATAATAATTTGTAGATCTATGTAGTTGTGTATAGAAATTATGCAAATAAATAGCGATTAAATCATCATATATAATGATTATTTTTGAAAATGAATATTATCAATTTCTGATAATATACGTCTACTTAGAGCAATTTTAGTAAAAAATCAACTTAACCAGTATATTTAATATTCTATATGTCACTTAAGTATTTTTCAATGTGAGCGAAAGGAAGATTTCTGAACTTGTGTATAGAAATTAGGCAAATAAATGGCGATTAAATCATCATAATGATAATTTTTAAGAATAGATATTATCAAATTCCAAAACTATACGTCTACAATCTGTTATATTAATATAGATTTAAATTAATCGTTATATTTGATATTTTGAAGTCACTTTCGTATTTTTTCAATCTGGGCGAAGGAAGATATCTGAACTTGTGTATAAAAATAATGCAAATAAATAGCGATTAAATCATCATAATGATTATTTTAAAAAATAGATATCATCAAGTCCTGATAATATACATCTACAAATTGTAATTTTAGTAAAAATTTCAATTAAAACAGAATATTTAATATTTTATAAGTCACTTTCGTATTATTCAATGTGAGCGAAAATAAGAACTTGTGTATAGAAATTTTGCAAATTAGTAGCGATTAAATCATCATTATGATTATTTCTGTTATTTAATATAATTATTTTCTAATAATATACGTCTACAAACTGCAAGTTTGTTTTAAAAGTCTATTAAAATGTTATGATTACCATTTTAAAAGTCACTTTCGCTCACTTTCGCTCACTTTCGTCAAAAATCTCACTTTCGTATTTTAGGCATACCGGCATTTAAGGAATTAGTAATTACCATTTTAAATGCCCGGCATCAAAATCAAACAAGGAGTGCTCAATGAAATCATTTGCCTCCCAGTAATAGTTATTATTAACTGGTCTTTAGAAACATAACTGGTCTTTAGAAACATATATACATTTGTTTAAGTGTTCAGAAAAGTCAAAACAACAAGAATGTCAGCATCACACTCACAGGTGTGAAAATTTAAAAGTACACTGTACATGGTACAGATTACTTATAGCTTACAGCTTATCCCCCGCAAAGATATGAATTCACACACTTTAGCCATCAATCTAAACTTTGCATCTACCTCAATTTTCATAAAAAAACACAACTCTACGCATGACTGATCATTGAATACAGCATTTTGACAGGTGAAAACAAAACTAACCGGTGTTGGAATTTCTACGTAAACTTACCTTAAAAGGTAACTGTATTGGCTCAGAATCGTCCAAAAACCTGACGGTTGTATGAAACTCCTGCTGTAAATCACCCTTACTCCGACTTTTCCGAAAGAGAGTCATAATTATCCACGAAAACAAGCACTGCTTTACTGACGCTTAGATCAAACGTTTTCTGACTAGCCGCTCAAGGGAAGTTTTGATCACATGACTTCCTGAAAAGTTCAAGGTCAGGTTTCAGCAGGTGTCCCGCACAGAAAATAAAGTGAATTTTAATCCCGAATAAACGAACAATTTAGGTCTTGTTACATTTAATATGCACAGCTTACCCAGATAAATTAGCTTCGGTTCAAAACTTTGATTGAATTAATTATGTAAATTAGCAATTTATTTAACTTCCGTGTTGCCTCGTTTTGAAAAGTAGGACGGCACGCGAGGATAAGGTGACAGTTGTAAATGAAAGTGAAAGTAGAACTTCGAGATGATTATTGTTGTTATGGGCGTTTGTGGCAGTGGAAAGTATGATTAAGTAGCTTATCTATACTTTGTTTTTTGTAAACCTTTTTATAAATATGTGATTATTTAAAATCTAGCGTGATAAGAATATCAGATTTAAATCATAATAAGAGTTACTGTATTAAAATGAAAGCTAAGCTATATAAACCGATACGTATACTATTTTGAACAAAGGCATATATAATTATATATTTATATATATTGATTAATAGAAAGAAGTAGTGTAAGTACATTTTGTAGATCTCGCTGTAAATTTGTAAAATTTTGTAGCCTTGATCAACAATCTATACTATATGTTATATATTATATGAATGTTATATGTTTCATAGAACTACCATTGGGTGCAGTGTTGCTGAACAGGTAAGTATTTTAAGAAACAATATGCTCAATTTGGTATCTTATTTATAATGGTTCTTGTACTGGTAACCCTGTGTTGATGTATTGTGCATGATAGTCCAACTACGTAATTAGACTTGTCAAAAAAACATTAAGATAATTTTGGATGGGTGATGTCTTTTTCCGGTTTGACACTAGGAAAATAACTTTGTAAAATTGGTCAAACTGTTCACACCAATTTAATTAGGCTATGTGCATGGGCAATATCCACTGGAGGCTAGTATTGACATGCCAAAGCTAGATTCTGAGATATGTTTGTTCTTGGTTGGAATCTAGAGTGGAGATATTGCCCATACACAAAATGGCACAATATTTCATTGCATAGTACAATTAGCTGGACTGGAAATGAGATTCTTACCCAGTACAAAAATACAATGTACCTCAGCTTTTGATTACTTGATTAGGTTGTCTTACAAGGAAACATAAATGTAAGAGTGGCAGCACACTTGAATTTACTTTGATAAATAACTGTAAATTTTAACAAATACCAATACAATTTTGTGCTTTCTTCAAAATTCCAATTTAGTCTGGGATAAATATCCGGACAAGCAACTATGGACTACAATTCTTGATCCTTTGTTCAAGTGATAGCCAATTGCTCGATAAGTTAAAAAGCCCTTATTACAAAAAATTACATTAATTATTTTCATAAAAAACATCATGTTAACCCAAATTTGAATATGGAAGGACTGTTAAAATCTTACACGAGGTGGCTTATACGAGTATTTTCCTTATTTATCCATTCACATCGGACAATATGGCGCCTGATTGGAAGTGAAGATAACAATAGCACTAATCTTCTGTTGCTTGTCCCATTATATTTCTCAAATAAATAGAGGATATTCAAGTTTTTTCTATAAATACATGATTTATTTTCATCGAGTGGTATGAAAATAAATATTTCATGAGTGGCGGTAGCCACGAGTGAAATATGGTAATTTTCATGCCACAAGATGAAAATAAATCATGTATTTATAGAAAAAAACTTGAATTTTCTGTTTATTATGTACATTTTTTCTCTTTTTTGCGATAAAATTTGAAAAACTTTCCCTTAAATTTTGTGTACTGGTAGAATTTAAAAGAAAGTAGTCCGGCAAGACACCAGTGAAAATACGGAAAATACGTTTTAATGCAATGAAAAATTAATTTTACATTGAAAATACGGAAAATGAAAATAGGCATTTTATTTCATCAATATTTCTCAATATTTCATTTATAAGTATATAATAAAAATATATATTTTGCCTCAAATATGGAAAAAGCGCAGAGCTTATTCGAACCAATTTCAAGTCTGCATTCAGGATTTACTTGTACTGACATCAAATTGTGATGTATCATTATGACCTCTAGTTGGGCTTGAACCTTTGATCCGTGGGTTGTAAGGCAAACCTCAATAGACCACTATTTTGTTTAAAAACTGAAGAACTCCTGAACTGGCATTGTGATTTCATACCTTTTCGAATGTTTGAGTTGATTGGGATTTTAGCCAGTTTAATTATTTTGGAGCCAATTTGCTCATTCAATGGCTCTTGCCAGTGCAAGCCCCGGTATGGCTTTGTTGAACCTTTTTATATCTTAGGTTATACTGTGCATTCAGATTATAAAATTATATTTGTGCAGTTGAAATGGCAGTTTGCTGATGCAGATGAATTTCACTCTGTAGAAAACAAGAAGAAGATGTCAGCAGGTCAAGCATTAACTGAACAGGTTTGACAATCATCATTATACATGTATAAGTTTATTTTCTCAGTAGTACTTGTATAGTTTAGGTTAGTGTATGTTTATTTACTCAGCATTGATGGAGTTAAGCAGAAGATAGATTTAATGAACTTAATGCTGACTTAACAAAGGCTAATCTATTTTGTAGTTGAGTCTTTACACAGTGTATGATGTAACAGGATATTTAGTGTTTGAAATAATTTTTTGTCCAATAGAATTGCAGTTTATTAAATGAATCATTACACATTTACGTTTAGCTAATCAGCTAAATTTAATCAGTCTAGTATTTCAACAAATTTATAAAAAATGAATTCAAACACTAAACTGGCTGTGCTGTTTTTGACCAATTTAATTTTGTAAATGCAAACCTTTACATATTTATGACAAGTTTGTGTAAATTAAATTAACTAAATTTACATAAACATAAGATAAATGGACCGATTTCAAGAATTTTGTCAAAAAGGTCTGCAATATTCTTTTCATTTTAATCATTTTTTTAAAATTTAAATCAACTTGCAACATTGACAAAATTTAAGTCATTACAATGGAATGTAAAGAAAAGAAATTTCAGTCAGAATCATTTTGATAATATTTCAAAAATCATGTTTACTTCATTGATTAACCTAATACTATATTTCAATGGGTTTGAAAGAATACATTATTATCTTAAGAATGAGTTGCAATATCATCACCATATTTATATTTTCTTACAGTTTTGTTGGGAAATTATTTGAAGTCAACTTACAATTTTTAAGTTAAAACCAAGCTATTGTCCTGATCAGCATAAAGAATCAACTATATTTTTTATACTTCAGGATAGGTTGCCATGGCTACAGTCAATCCATAAGTATGCTAAAAGGTAATAGATATGTTACTGGTCTTTTTCTCAGCATTTTGCTTTTGTAATTTGCATATATGATAAAAAAATATGTCAAAAAATATCTGCTCATGTAATAGAAATACCCCAAAGTAGATTAATGAAAACATTACCATCAGCATTTAAAATTTTGAAATGTCAAACCTTTGAGAGTATAAAGCGGCTATCTGACATTGGTAGAGGGACATTTGTGGCCAAGTGGTTTAGGTTGTTTACTTTAAACCACATGCCCCTAACTGCTGTGGGTTTGATTCCCCCCCGACAGGGACTTTGGATTCTTTCATGTGAGGAAGCTATCCAGTTAGCTTTCAAAATGTCAGAGGTTCTACTCAGGTGACCATTCGTGCCTAAAATAATGCACAGAAGGACAACCGAGGTCTTTCTCCACCAGTGACACATGTATAGTGTGTTGATGCGAGGTATAACTCAACCAAAAAAAAAAAGATATTGATACAATAACTTTGTATTTTGTTTAAAATCACTTCAAAGTATGGTCAGTATGAAATAATGACATTAGTAAAGTTTCATAAAAGCAACCAGAACATGGAAAAAAATCATTGATTATTATTTATATGGGTGATATTAAATTGCGTGACTTATTTTCATACATGATTGTACTTGTTATCTGCATTTCAGTAGATTACTGACATATACCAGAGGTTTATATTTGAAATTTTCACAGTAAAATTAACTAATTGATGATATTATACAGTAAAAAATAAAAATCATGAAATGAAAGAAAATTTGTTTAAAGGAACTCCACTGAGGTTTATAAGCCTAAAACATAGTATTTTAATTTTTCACATAGATAAACACGAGCACTTTAAACAGAAATATAAATAAAATATAACTAAGAAATACACAAGAAATACATTGAAAATCATATGTTTGTGCAATTCTGAGTCCGATTTGAGTGAAAAGCATTTAAACGCTTTTCAATTTTGGGTCATTTTTCACTATTATAATAATTATTCTGGAAAAACGGAGCGAGCTAATGATCTGAAATTTTGCAAATAAGTTATTAATATAGATCTACATCAAATTGAGTAATGTCAAAAAATTATTACCAGTCGCGTCATGTCAAAAAAACCTCAGTGGAGTCCCTTTAAAATCTAAGATCAAGTTAAATTTCATTTGTGAATACAAGCTATTAAATTGTCTCTCATTGGTTCACAACTCTTGTAAAAAAAATATATTGTATTTTAGAAATTAAGAAAATACATGGAATTTTGCAACGTTATGTTTAAAAGGAATCTGTCTCAATATTTTGAGCTACTTCTGATGAAAAACATTTTGTTGTTAGACTTGTTCTGATTTTTTCTGCCTGATTTTGATCATTTTCAGGTTATCACAGAGTAACCAGTCTGGAGTAATCACATGCTCAGCTTTGAAGAAAATCTACCGAGATGTTCTAAGGTACGGAACCAGTTGCAAAATGCAGTGTACAGCTGAAATAAAGCCGGATACAAATGTAGACAATAAGTGTGAGCATCTGAAGGACTCGGATTTGAATGATACACACAAAGAGGGAGTAGACGTTGTCAAAGAGGGAGTAGACATTGTATTTATTCATTTGACTGGTTCTAGAGAAGTTCTAGAATCTCGATTGACAAATAGAATGGGCCATTTTATGCCAGCAGAAATGTTACAGTCACAGTTGGACACACTTGAGAACTTGGAAAGTCAGGAGAAAGGATTTACTGTAGATATCAATAACACTGAAACAGAAATAACAAAGACAATCATAAGTCAACTTAACATTTGATTTAATATGCTTGGACATTTACCCTTTCAGTTATTGATAAATGTAAACCAAAACAAAATGTTTAGTCAAAGTTTAAACAGAGCATTTTTTATAGTCTTATTTCATATAACCATTTGATATGATTTAACAATTAATGCCCTAAAATGTTAACAAGTTATTAAAATGGGTTCAGAAAATTTTATTTGGAGGTAGACATAGTTGGCCCTTTAGGAACTGTCTTAGTAACCAAATCTGTCTATCATTGTTAAGACTGCATTGCTGTATACCTGTTAACAGCAATAACTGCTCTAAAAGGGTAAAATAAATTTTCTGCAAATGTGAATGGAATCATGAGGGGTGTCCCAGAATTACGTGGACTTTTGCTATAACTTTTTTATTTTTTAATGCATTTTTTAGCAAATTTATACACAATACCTTTAACATATCCTTAATGAATATGTCCATTAGTTTTAAATTTCTAACATTGCTTCGCTATAGTAACGCAGTATGCGCAGGGCGGGGCAGCCCAATATTTTGTATTTATAAGTTGTCTTTACTTTCGTATATCTTGCGTATTTATACGTAAAAAATGGCGCGACGTCGTAAGCATATGCAGTGACGTCATATGAACGTTCGTTTGAAATTTTGACGTCATAGCTGTTTCCGTTATTGTTTACCAGCGGACAACTGACAACCGTTGCTCTTGGATAATTAACAAAAAATGACGTCCACGGATTACGCAGAACATCGGACTATCATCAAGTTTTGTGTTAATCTTGGGAAGACGCCAACACAGACGCAGGAAATGTTGGAGACTGCTAAAGTGAGACCTCCTGTTTGTCGATCACTCGTTTTCAAGTGGCATAAGCGTTTTCGAGATGGCCGGGAGGACATTGAAGACGACAAGGGTCGTGGGAGAAAGTCAACGTTGACTGCGGCGTCAATTAAGGAAGTCAAGGACGTCATAGATCGGGACAGGCGTTACAATGCTGAGTACTATTCAAGGGCAAGCAATAATTTTGTGTTTAAAAGAATTATTTTTAAAAATTAAGCTAATCACAATTTATTATTTTAAACGCAATTTATCCGCTTCAGCTTTTAAGAAAGTGAACTCAAACTGCTATAGTAAGCAGTGCACAAGATAGGTTATTTCCCTTGTTAACGCACATTGTCTTTGCGTACAAAATAATCTCCATAATAATAATAATAGTACTGTAATAATAATAATAATAAAAAAAGAATAATAATAATAATAATAATAATAATAATGATAAATAATAATAATAATAATACGGCGTTAGCATTATCACCGTCGTCTTTAACACTATCGTAACAAAAGTTAATAGTATGCTTTATTATTATTATTATTATATCATTACAGTGTACGACCAGTGGATATATCGACACCATAGGTGTATTGAGTTAGGCGGCGACTATGTTGAGAAAAACTGACATTCAACGTCGCGCATTTATTAACAACTAGCGACGCCACCGGAATGACGTCGTAACGTCAGAATGGACTGCCCCGCACCCGCTACCCCTTGTCTCATTACCCTGCCCACGGACACTGATCCAGTTGCCGGACAACTTTGAAATTTTTTGTACTAATGCAATAAAGTTGCATTTTGTTCATGTTAATTTTGTTTGTTTTTATTTTCTGTAGTTTTTGAGTTACAGCAAAAGTCCACGTAATTCTGGGACACCCCTCGTATAGATTCTATATTCATTTATTAATTGAAGTTATTTCAGAAAATCCTATTACATATTTATCATGCAAATGGTAAACTTGATGGAAGAATTTTGATTAACAAACAATTAAGGAAAAGCGGCAAACAGTAAACGTTTGGGTATAAGAAAAGGGAGACAATTACTTTTTTTTGTAAAAAATTGGAGACAATTGCATTTAGTATGATAATTATATTTGTAAACAGGAAGGGAGATAATTAAGTTACATCAAGAGTCTCCATGTTGTATAATTGGCCAGTTATTAGTTTAATTCTAGTCATTCTTAAGTGTTCATCAATATAGAAATTTGCTCACAGTGTTTGCTCAGTAGAGGTTTGCTTGTATACCGGTATTATCTGGATTTTACACAAATTTCAACATATTTTTGGTCATATTTAAGCAGTCAGTCCACCTAACATACTTCCTGGATAACTAACCAGTTAAATAACCAATTTCTTCTCAAGTGATGTTTCATAAACAAACTATTAAGTGGAAATTTATTTAAATATTTTTATTGATTGTAACTCTATGTATACATGTAACTCTATGAACTTTGTATACATTTTGATTGTATGTTATTTATATACTAATTTATAACTAGAATAAAACTCAAACATAGATTGTTGTGTTGCTTTAAGAAGAAAACATTGGTCTTCTCCTAGCCATTTTTGGAAAAGTACCTAGTCAAGGTAGGAAATTTTGCATCTTAAAATTGCTAATTGAGAATAATATTTGCTACCTTTTGAAATCTCCTGGCAGAGATTTTTGTATTGTATGACATTGTTCATTCTGACCTACAAATATCAAACTAAGCGTAACAGATACAATTAAATTTGATGTTAAAATGTGAGAACCATCGGTCTGTTCTGATATTTGGATATCAGAAATTTCAGTTAGTATAAAAATCAGGAAAAATTTAGCATATTATTTTGCCATTGGGAATGGGTCTGATTATCTGACTATGGTGACAATGGGAAAAGGACTGAAACAGATACTAGTAACAAATGCAATGACTTTATGTCTCTTTTAATAGACAAAAGGGATAATGGTTCCTTAACAAGTTTTTTAACCTTTGAATGATATAAAATTTGAACTGACAGACAGGCACTATAATGTTTTCATCAGACTGCTAAAATTAAGTGGCGTACAACCTCGGTGAATATTTTACTAGCAATATACAAGCTGACTGTCAACAGGTTTCAGTACATTTTACCAGAGTCTTTCAAATAGAAAGTCCCTGATTTTACTAAGTTTTGTTATTCAAACAATATGATTCGATTTTCTACCTCATTAAACTTGAACCATTATTTTCTAGTAAAGTGCGACAGAAATACTAATATAAGAAATAGCACACAGAACTTCAGAGCTCAAAGCATTATAGTGACCTCCACGGGCCTTAGCATACAAGCTGAATAACAACAGTTTTCAGAACATTTAACTAGAAATCTTTTTACTTAAAAAACATGATTTTCTTCCTTGTTAAACTTTTGACATTTCTTAGCATGTTCAGTTCTAGTAGTGTGGTATTACATAGGAAATAGCATACAGTACTTCGGACCTCAAAGCATTATAGTGACTTCCCAGTCAGCCTCAAGCATTGCTTCGCCCATGATCTATTAAATGTTTGTGGGCTGACTGCTCTGTCACTATAATTCTATGAGGCCCTCAGCGCTGCATACTTTTTCTTATATAGTCAAATTAAAAATGAGTTGGCAACAGTTTAGTCTTATGTTTTCTGGCATTCACCATCAATATACACATCCTGGTCAATCAGAAATTTTACTGTATGCATTGAAAACATACATCTTGGTGCAAATCAAACAACATTGTCATTATGCTTCAAAATTCAATAAAAGATTAAGTTTTACAGTCTTTAATGATTAGGATGGAACATGGAAAACAAATCAAAACATGTCAAATATTTACATTAGAAGTACTACAACTTACACTGGTAAGGTAAATAATTGATAATCAAGGCAAGCATTCATCACTGTATATAACACTCTGACATGAGCATTGAAATTGATCTGTTGAATATACTTCAACATCAAAGTTATAAATATTCAAACTCATGTAAAGCAAAAACTATCGTTTTTTAAATAACAAACAAAAATGAATTTTGATTTTGATGGCTCTTGAAATTTTCAAAATCTGTAATCTAAATTTTTGATTGAAAATTTTGATGCATATGCAACTTAGTTTCCATTCATCAGGAAATCAAGTAACTTCTAACTCCATATTGCCTCCTCCTTAAAATTAGCTCCACTGAAGCAATGTTCTCTGAGAATACTATCAAAAACTGTCACTGGCACACTATCTGTCACATCAACTAACTGTCTCCGTCTGAATGATGTGTCGTATTTTCTCTGAGTCTCCCAGAAGTTGCTCATTCTTCGGGTCAAGCTTTAGAGCTGCCTCATAATCTTGTAATCCTGCAATATATCATTATACAGTACTGTATTTTTAATAGTATCAATTTTATTACTTTATTCTTCGCACTTACATCTTAAGAACACATAAATCTTTTGAAAAAAAAAGCTTTTAAATCAGGTATCATTTTAATATATTTGATACATGGAAAACAGAGGACATTGTAAAGAATGTGATGGTAAACTAACTTAAGTACATAGTAAACTGAGAATATGGTAAACCAATTACATGGTGGACCGACTGAGAACATGGATAACCAACATAGGAAATTGTTAACCAAGCAAGTACATGGAAAACCATAGAACATGTTTAAACAACCAAGTACATGGTTAACCAATCAAGTACATTGTAACACGCCCGTTTAACTCACAACGAGTGAAAAATGTCCATCGGTTAAAATGTTGTGAGAAACTTCCATTCCTCGTTGTGAGCACCCATCTTTGACGTGTGACGCGATAAACAAGGTGAGTTTTTCATAATTTTTAAAGATTACAGACATTTATGTAAAAATATCGAAATGCAGTTAGCTAGCGATGTGTGTTTTCCGAGTATGCACATGTAAAGATATTGCCTGTTGGTTGACAATTTGATGGAAATACCGTGCGACGCAGTCACTCGGGGTAGCAGGAAAACTGGAGGCAACTTCTCTTTGGACCTAATTTAACATTGAAAACGTCGATTATGGTGACGTTTTGTGCATTCTAACCTAAAACAGATGCCCACAAGTCTTCAGCGTAAATTATAATCTGAAAGTCTTCATAGAAACGAGGATATACCCTGTTTTTGCTTCAATCCTCGTTGTGAGCACCATAACCTCGTTGTGAGCAAGACAAGCGCAGTCCTTGTCTGGTTTTAATATGAAATTCAAATGGCAAGAATACAATTTTTCAATCTACCAAAAGCAATCAAAACGTTTTTGTACAATAGTTTTTCTTTGCAATAGTTCTTCTTTTCTTTTTTGAAAATAATATTTTTCATATTCACAAGTCATCAGATTAACAGAAGAACTAATCAGTGGAGGTAAATTAGCTATTTTATTTCGTATACTCTAGTGTGGCACGAGTGAACATCAGTTTATGAATATTTCAACAATTTCACAATCTGTGGGATACACACATACATATGTTTATCCTGAGCTGAAGACTGACCAAGTTATGAAAAACAAGAAACTATCACGGTAAGTTGACAATGCCCCCGAAGTGGCGTTTTGTCCTTTGATTTATGGACCAGATAGATTATTTTGATTTTGGACAATAAGATCTTCAATGTGAAGGTCATTCAAGGTCAAGGTGAAATAAATATAGGTCAGTTGGAAGGTCTTGTCCAAAGGGGCATTGTGTCCAAATATGAATTAATTCCACTTACTTATAAAGAAGTTATGACCAAATGTTAAAGTTTTTGGATGTTCTAGGTCATTCAGGGTACAAAGTAAAAAAATACAGATCAGTTTGAAGGTCTTGTCTGTTTGTTGTTTTCAAAATATGAGTAGAATCCGTATGCTAATAAGGAAGTTTTGACCAATTTTTTTTAGTTTTCGACAATTTGACCTTCAAGGTGAAGGTCATTCAGGGGTCAAGGTCAAAAGAATATAGGATAGCTGAAAGGCCTTGTCCAAAGATGTGTTGTGCCTAAACAATATGCCAAATCTTAATTGTTTTTGGACAATTTGACCTTCAAGGTAAAGGCCATTCAGGGGCCAAGGTGAAAAAATACAGGTCCGTAGGAAGGTCCTGTTCTTCGGGATGTTGTGTTCAAATATGAATCAAATTCGTTTACTAATACGGAAGTTATGGCCAATGTTTAGTTTTCGGACAAATTGACGGACTGACAGACGGACAGTTCAAAACTAATATGCCTTCCTTTGGTGTATGCACAACGTCTTGCAAAGAAATGCTGCTGTGCAAAAACGTTTTAATTGCTGTGGTAGATTGAAAATTATATTTTCACCATCTGAATTACATATTAAAACCATACACGCACTGCGCTTGTCTCGCTCACAAACGAGGTTATGGTGCTCACAACGAGGATTAAAGCAAAAAAGGGTATATCCTCGTTTCTATGAAGACTTTCAGATAATAATTTACGCTGAAGACTTGTGGGCATCTGTTTAAGGTTAGAATGCACAAAACGTCACCAGAATCGGCTTTTTTAAAGTTTTGGTCCGAAAAGTTGTCTCCTTTTTTCCTGCTCCCCCGAGTGCTGCGTCGCACGGAAATTTCCCAATCAAATTTGTCGGCCCCCAAACACGCAATTTTCTTTAAAATTTGCTTTACTCGGAAAAACATCGCTAGCTAACTGCTTTTTCGATACTTTTACATGAATGTCGGGAATCTTTTAAAAAATTTTTGAAAAAACCCCCTTTGGTTTTTTCGTGTCAACGTCAAAGAGGGGTGCTCAAAGGGAAAAACCCGGAAAGGGGTTGCCCCACAACTTTTTTCCCGGGAGGGAAACATTTTTTCATTCGTTTTTGGAGTTAAACGGGCGGGGTTTGTAAAAAAGAACATGGGAAAAATGGTTAAAAACTTAGAGATTTAAAAAATACTTTTGAAAATTAGCTATAAACTAACATACAAATCAATATGTTTTAAAATAAACTGGTAACCTATATGACAAAGAAAAGAAAACTCATACATTTACTTACCTTCTACATACATCTCCAGCTGACAGAAAGCTGTTCCACGTCTTACATGACACTTCAGGCGACTGTCTGCATTCTGTTGAACTTTTGGGACTAGTAACTCTAAAGCCTGTAATGTTACAAAACAACACTGTTCTTCACTGTTTTTACTTTCAAAGTAATTAGGAAACAGATAGCAATTAAAACAAGAGCTGTCAGGAGTACAGCGTTCCCAACTACTCTAAGTGCATGATGGTAAAACAAGAGCCTTGATAATGAAGAACTTTGTTAGTTCAATAAGGGCCATAATTCTGTCAAAATCCATGTTAAGAAATATAGTCCTTATTCAATGACCTTCTATTATGCTCTGAAGTTTCAATCCATTCCCTTCAGTAGTTTTGGAACAAAAGCCTACCAAAGTGTAAATTATTCGAAGAGTCAAGCTAAAAATTAACTTTTAATGCATCCTGCATCCATTTACATATTTTTTATGTTGTCTGTAATTCTCTCAGATATGAATTTCAAAAAGATTTGACAGACACATTTTTTACCTCCCATGCTTTTCAAAATTATGTCCCTTTATTAATTACACTGCAAAATATAAAAACATGAAGGCTTTTGTACAGATTTGACTAATATTGTGAACTGCTAAATACTATGATTTGAACTATTGTGAAAACATTTGAAAAGGGAGTACATGTATGTATGAAAACAGTTTTAAGTGACAGCTGTGTGCAGTTGATTTTCAATTCCTGTGTTATATTGACCATAAACATATTTAAAACTATATTTGAATTTGAAGTGTGTCACTTAGTTTCAAAAAGGAACTAAACAGATCTTTTTTATTCAGACCACTGGGACAGGAGTGCATGTTTTACTTGATTAAAGAAAGCACAATGCTTGTTTTCTAACACAGAACGTGTATTAAATATAACTTACCTTTGAACAATCTTCTATACATTTGAAAAAGTTTCTCATTTTAAGATGACATGCTGCTCTGTTTGAATAACATCTGTACAGAATGTGTTAAGGACTTTACTGTTTCACCTACAGAACTCACAGAACATACATACAGGGCATTGTAGATATTGGTGAAGATATTAGGTATCTCCAACATTGTTAATGTTTGTTCTAGCCTAACTGATGGAGAAAAACCTGCCACGTGCCCTTCAAATCATCATTTCAGACACAAGCTAGCTTTGAATTAACTTTCTGTAACATAGCTGGATAGAGAGGTACCTTGTGAAAACCTTAAATTTAATCATTTCACTGATAGACTTAAGGGTTTCTAAGTTAGAATATTAGTGTGGCACAAACATTTATAATAAAGAAACCATTGGAAATCTTATTCTTTGCCTGGACATTCTTTACTATTGAATTCCTACAATGAATAATAACATGGAAATTTTGGCACATGTGGAAAACCACTTGAAATATACAAATCGATATGCCCCTGATTATATCTCATCATATCTTTTAATTATTGACGATTGTATAAAAACCATACTTGAAAATGGCTTTTATTGACAGATCAATCTCTTAACATGTGTTTTTGTTAAACAAATCATTGGTATTCAATATGTTATTTTTATTAAATCTTTAGTCTGCTGAAGTCGACTAATTTTAACCATGTGACTAGTGCTGATCATGGCTTGCACTGTTCACTATTCTGTTCGCAATCTGTTCTTATCTTAACAATTTCCCTAAAAATGAAGAATGGTTTTGTTTAGAATGAAAGATAGACAAGTCCATTTATGATATTTGGATAGTCAGGGTGAAAGGATTTTTCTAGCACAGGTATGACTATATAATGGTTATGTATAAAGGATACGAATGAAGTGAGTGATTGAGTCGTAATGCATGAGAGTACGCATTAATTGCTGCCTCCAAATTTCCTGCCTTGAAAAATTCACTGAAATATAGAGAAAATATTTTATTCATTATCTTAAATAAAGGCAAACATGCAGCTTTAAAGTCTATGATATCTAAAGTCTCAAAATTACCGTCCTGTAACAAAAAGGAATTTAAATCTGTTTATTGTTGGATTTTAAGTAACATCAGCACTGTTCAGAGGAAGACTTCAGTCAAATTTCATCACATTATTTTATGCATAGTCATAAATTTAGTGTCTAATTTATAAGATACTAACAGTCATGTGCAAATTTTTCTGGGTTTTTTTTATATATCTGATCATTTGTCAATCAATCTACATTCCTTAATTTGCGAAACAGACTTACTATTAAGAATTTTGAAGTTACCATTCTTGAATTAAGGGGATTAAATAATGAAATGATAAGAATCAAGCAACTAAAATATAAAGTTGGGCCAAACCCAACATGTGTTTTGTCAGGCTCTACAAGTGTGGCAGACTGACCTAATTGTGTCAGACACTAGAAGTATGGCAGACTTGCCTGATTTAGTCATCTTTATAGGTGTGACAGACTTGCCTGGACTTGGTCAGATCCCACAGTTGTGGCAGACTGGCTTGATTCTACACTAATGTTATAGACAAGTCATCATCATTATTGGGTAAACAGTTGTATTAAATAGCACTTACTTTCCCTTGTCTCTTAGCCACATTGGGTTCTTTTCTTCTTCAGATAAATTTTCATCTTCAAGTTCAATAACACGCCTTGCCTCAGCTTGTTTCTTCAACCACTGAAAATTTTCATGCAACATTTGATATAATTACAGTTTTGACTTGACTACAATCACTACATAGTGACAATGGATATGTTGAAACTGTTCAATAACAATTCTATAACAGCAAAGCCAATGAATAATGACAACTGTAAGGAGTTTTACAAATCTCAATCCCTTTCTTAAACTGTTTTGATGTCAAATTTTTTACCTTTTTCTGTGGACATGGTTTTGATGTATACATTATTTTACAACAAATTGAAAGTCTTTAATTAAGGGAACTGTTTTTAACAATTTCTGAACAAGCCCCATTTGTGTATATGAATATGCTAATGACAAGGTATTCCAGTGATATGAACAGATAATTTTTCTAGGTAACAGAGAAAACATTACCTCTTCTTCTTTAGGTCTTACAGATTCTCTCTCTGGTGTAGGAAATTCTCTGTGTGTAAAAGATACTGCTATTTTACCCACTTCTCTCTTTGGTGCCCCTTCTGCATTTTCTTCAAATATACTTGCCTTCTTACCTACATGAGAAACATAAATGCTAATACTGCAGTTGTTAACAATACACTCATTTCTAGCTAAACAAGCAATTATCATAGTATTGCAAGCAATCCATAAGTCCCCTACCGGTAAGAACCCCAGCAACATTCTGATGGGCCATTGGCCATTCAATTTTACCAGTGAATGAATGACATGAATGAACTTAAATCTTTTGAGTTCTAAGTTTGTCTATATCACAGTAATGTGTTAAGTTTCTTTGCCTAGTAAGGAAATTATGTTTATACAACCTTGTCATATTATTACGAAGTGGGATTTTAAAGTAATCCTATAAGGAATGAAGAAGTTGGAGTAAAAAATACCAATTTCTCGAAAAAAAATCTAAGTTCAAGGGGGACATAATTCTGGAAATAGTCTTGCTAGAGTATTTAACCTTCTCAAAAATGTTGAGTGATAATAAAAAACATATATATGAAGTTTGAAGTAGATACATTAGGAAATAAAAAAGTTATTTAAAAATAATAAAGAAGTTATTTAAAAAAGACAACATTTTTTTTCATAAAAATTCTAAGTTCAAGGGAGGTAATACTGATAATTTTTGTGCTAGAGTTGTAAACCTTGTCACATATGATGTGGTTGATGACCAGAAACTTATATTTAAAGTTTGAAGTAAACACCTTAAGAAATAAAGAACTTATGGTGAAAAAGCTGAAAAAATTTAAATCAGAAATCTTGAAATTCAGGCTATTTGTTGCCATAGCAACCAGAATTTTCAACATAGGAAGAAAAGAAAAAGATGTGCATAATCTCCAGACTGCCATCTACCCATATTTTAAGTTTCATAAAAATATTTTCAGTACTTTTTGAGTTATCACTGGATCCAGGTTATGTGTTAAATTTGCCATATTTTCAGACTATTTGTTGCCATAGCAACCAGAATATTCAACATAGGAAGAAATGCAAAAGATGTGCATAATCTCCAGACTGCCATCTACCCATATGTCAAGTTTCATAAAAATATTTTCAGTACTTTTTTAGATATCACTGGATCCAGTTTATGTGTTAAATTTGCCATATTTTCAGACTATTTGTTGCCATAGCAACCAGAATTTTCAACATAGGAACAAAAGAAAAAGACGTGCATAATCTCCATACTGCCATCTATCCATATATCAAGTTTCATAAAAATATTTTCAGTACTTTTTGCGTTATCGCGGGATCCAGTTTTGTGGACGGACGGACAGACGGATGGACAGACGGACGGAGGGTAAACCGGTAGGGGACTAATAATGAGAGAATACCCAGAGTTAAGGTTAACATTGTCAGAAAATGAAATTTCCTTGTCAGAAAATGAAATTTCTTAAGTCAGAAAATGAAATTACTTAGTCAGAAAATGAAATTACTTTGTCGGAAAATGAAATTACTTCAAGGATCAGTTGTAACAGGGTTACACGCAGCCACTTATATGTGTAACCCTTTTATTTGTTTTTTTTTGCTCTCTATTTTCATAAATTATTATCATAATATCTGGATAGATATATTGGAGAAGAGATGAGAGAGAGGAATAAATATAAAAGCCTTACATTTTACCTATGCATGTAGTTAGTACCCTATTGATGTTAAAAAAAAATTCAAGGCACAGATAGAAAATATAAATCCTTTTTTGTCACTCTTTTTACGGTTCATAGAAGAAAATATCTTAAAACTACAACCAAAAATTCAGTAACAAATACTTTGGTATTGAAAAATAAATTCACCATTAGATTTGATACAAAATTATTACAAACAGAGATGATTAATGGGTAATCAATGCTTTTCTTTTGCTACTAAAATACAAAACTAACCTCTGGTTTGTCTTTTTTGTAGTCTTTCCTGAATTTTACGTTTTTCACGTTCAATGGCTTCCTCTTTGCGACGCTCTTCTAGTAATCTCTCTTTCTCCTTCAAATATAAGTGATAAAATAAAATTTCTATACCCGCTGCTTATGCATGTAACATTATAATGATGTTGTAGAAGATTAAAATGAGCCATGTCATGACAAAACCAACATAATGGGTTTGCGACCAACATGGTTCCAGACCAGCCTGCGCATCCGCGCAGTCTGATCAGGATCCATGCTTTTCGCTATCAGTTTCTCTACTTGTAATAGGATTTGTTAGCGAACAGCATGGATCCTGATCAAACTGCGCGGATGCGCAGGCTAGTCTGGATCCATGCTGGTCACAAACCCATTATGTTGGTTTTGTCATGACGCAGCTCAAATGTATTTTTAATACTGTAGTGTTTAATTATATTGAAACGCTGGTATATTTCCAGCAGGCTTCTCGGGGACGCTTATTTCGGCGTCCCGGTACGCATGTTTATTACAGCTGGACGCAAATATTTCAGAGCAAGGATTCCACGTACGCTTAATTTTGCCTGGGGACGCATAAACATTACCGATTGTTTACAACCAGAAATACACAAATGCGTCAGCGCGTGTCAGTCTATAGGTAGGGCGGTCCTTTGCACATCGACCCGTGAAGCGATTAGCCAATCAGCGATAACGCTTACGATCATTATCACGCAATAGTGATCAGACTAATGTAAACACGCGCTGTACAGTACATGTACCAGATATAACACGAGGTGATAATTTTATATCTTTGATCAACAGTTGATTGGAAATTAGCAATTTTACCGACAAAATGATAAAATTATCGACTATTTACGCCGCAAGTTTAAAGACTGTTTTCTCAAATTATAAATGAGTGTAATTTTGAACGATTGTCGAATATTTTAGGCATTTTCTAGGCACAATTTTGCTTTAGTTTTATTCTTGCAAAAACTTTCGATAAGACTATTAAGAATTTAAGATATTGTGCCGAAATGCCAGGACAACAAACCAAAATACACATACGCTTTTCCTTGATATTTAGATTCTATCCGAAAATTGATCCCGAACATCGGCGATTTCACGTTCGCCAGAAACCCTAAAATTTCGCAAAAATTCGCGATTTCCAAGCCAAACATGCGAATGAATTGTTCCTTTATTATTTAATCAACATTAAATCTTTAAATATCGATCTTCAATTTGCCCCCTTTTGAAGATATTTGCTAAAATAATTGTCGATCGGGTGAATCTCTTACACACTGTTTGAAGCTGTACACGATTTTCCTATTCATTCCGCTAAACGCTGTCTATATACATTTACGTTTTTTTTTACAAATATAAACTTTTTGTCTTTAGAGTGGACTTATTTAACCAGAATAAAATTTGATTTGGTATAAAAGTGAAAAAAAAACGATTTCCATGTGTTGATGCATTATAATGAAATAATTTCATAATAAATATATTAACAACAAAACAGTAATTATACTATGTAGTTCAGAGTTTCTTTTGAATAACTATAAACTTTGGAAGTCTCTTGAAGATTCAAAATATCAGCAATGCTATTGTGAGCATTTAATGACTAATCTGTAAACATATTAATTGCGACGCGCTTTTGGACTCCAACTTTTTCAGGGTTGGGAGTCCATGGACTCCATGTTTTAAAGTCCTAGTGAGAACCCTGTTCCAGCCTTTAAGGGATTTTATACAGTGTATTCCAATATAACATAGTTGTAGACCTTAGCAATCTAACTTATAAATGATGTAAATATGTAAAGTTTCAAGGACCTTTTCAGCAGCTTGTCTTTGTTCTTCCTTCCATGTCTCTAGTTCTTGAGTAGCTTTCAGTCGTTCATTCTCTTTAGTTTGTTCAATTCTGTTCCTCTCCTCTTCCTCTGCCTATAACACATGTAAAATAAAACAGCTTAGTTAGTTTCATGTAATATTTAGGTATTGTCTGACATCTAACACCAGGCATCTACGAGGGTTGTCCCAAAATGTTGTAGACTACATTATTTTCTCTTCAACCTGACGTCATAACTTAATAAAATTTACCAGATATCTTCCTTTGTCATTTGTTAATTTACCTTCTTAAAGTAAATAGCCAATATATAAGGTAACGCTTTTTATCAGGGTTTTATATTAAACAGTACAACATACCCGGAGCACGATAAAATATTAGTCAGTGTTGAGAGCATGCTTCTTAAAAACATGCCTTTAACTTCTAGCATAATAATAATTATGGGAAATACATTCCCGTGGAACGACGTCATTCATTTTTACGTCATATCCCAAACAGACATTTATGTAACGCTACTTTGAAAAAATCTGTAGCATAATATGTAACAGCAATGCTATTTTGAAAATTCCCAAAATGGCAACGTCAGATGAAAATGCGGCGCAGCGCGATGTCATTGAATACTGTGTTCAGTTCAAGAAGCGTCCAGCATTAACTGACAACATGGAGAACATTATATTTTATCAAGATAATGCACTTTGCCATAGATCTCAGGAGACACAGCTTGAACTTGATGTGATAGGTTTTTAGAGACTTCCATACGCCCTTAGACTTTGCAGTGTTTTCTTATGTGAAATCACAATTACGAGGTCACCCTGAGGTTCGAAAATTTCAGGGTACTAAGCAAGGAAACTCGACGAGTGTTGAGAACATTAAAGTAGGACTATTTTGAAAATGGTTATGATAAATGGGTCACCCGACACCGACAGTGGATCGAGGAACACGGAGAATACTTTAAAAAACATTTTCTAAATCTTGTAATGTCATGACGTTTATGACGTATGTATAGTTAGCATTCTTTAGATTTTAATAACTTGGTCATTTCTGGAGGTATTTTGATTTTATTTCGCATAGACACACATAAAAGGTGTATTGACTTTTCCCTGGCTTGACGGCTCTATTGTTTTATAATTGATTGAGTAACAGACTTTGTCTACGATATTTTGGGACAACCCTCGTACATAACACAATTCTGAAAGCTTGGTGATTGCTGAATTATAACAATTAATGACCTATTTACAATAACTATTTTCTGATATTTAAATGGTGATAAACTGATTTAAAAATGGGACTTCTGAATAAAACCATAACATGCTAAACTTATAACAATAAATCTGCCAAGTTTTAAGTTTGGAATAGTTCATTCAATATCGAAGGTATTTCAATATCAAATAACAAAATAAACAAGCTACCAACAGTATAGTCTGATCAGACTGCACTGCTGTTCAGGCTGGCCTGGTTCCATACTGGTGGCAAAGGCTAACTGCTTTTGGGTTCAGTAAAAACATAAGCAGTAAAGATAGAAATCTATATATGTACAAAATTTTCAGATTCAGTATTTATAACTCAATTTACTATTAACAGAGTTTAATAAACAGATCAAAAGCTTGCCTACATGGTGAACCACTAGAAATGTACTCATAATTACTACTTTGTTACCTTCATAATTTCATTAAGAGCGTATTTTTCATTGGCTCGTTTTTCTTCTGCTTTTCTCTCGTCTCGCTCTTTGGCTTTTATTTCAGCCTTTGCAAATGCTTCATCTCTCTTTGCTTTCATAGCAGATTTGTCTCCTAATCATAAGAGGGAAAAACAATTTTATTTACCACTTTATCTTTTTGAAACAATGTACAATAAATTCTTGAATCAACCATTTTTTCTTTTCATTTTTCTGATTTCATGCTGTAGATTTATACTGTTTGCATAGACAAGTTTTTGATTTTTATCATAATTTATTGATACATGGCTTCCTAACAAATTAGCATAGATATAAGGTCTTATGCATACAAGTAAAACATGTTTATAAAAACATGTCTTTGTCTACAGGTGGTCTTCCCTTCCTCTAAAAGGGGGATATTTGCAAAAAATTTTTAAATGCGAAATAATTTTAAAAAGTTTCCCTTTTTAAAAACCCTTTAATTTTAAAAAACAAATGACAAACCTGTTTTTTTTTTTGGAATTGTTTTGGAAAATGACATTATAATTAACTTTAGTGAAAAATTGATATAGAATTCCTAACTTGAATAAAGAAGTTTTAAAAATGGAGCAGCTAGAGATTATGTTACCAATCAAATCAGACTGTAGTTGTGGCCATTTGTCTCCCTCTTTCTTAAGCAGTTTGAACACCACAGCACCGTTTCCAACCTGAGCAACACTATCTCCATCTTCTACAGGTTCATATAAGAAGCACTCAAACAGATAGGGCGGAAAACTGACCTGGATAAAACAATATTATATTTTTTAAATTCAAAATGTTTTGTCATCAAGTACTGCTTCTATGCAGGGGTTTTCAAATAGAATGGTCTGGAGTCGGACCAATTATTTGAAAAAAGATGTCTCGGCTAAGTCACGTGATTAGGTTAACTATCGATCATGACGACTGTGATCTGGCATAGTACATCACCGTTCAAAAATCAAATTATAAGATAATGTTTTGTTAAATTTATCAACAAATTACTGAAAACTAAACCCTGGCTGCATTACATGATCAAAATTTACTTAAAAAAGTTACAATTTTATAGATTTGTAATGAAATTAGGCTTTTTTTTATCCCCCCCCCCGGTGTCAAGGTAAAAATCTCCTTCTCATATTTGAAAACAGGTTTCATAAGCTTTTTAAAAATGTATAAAATAAAAAAGAAATTGAATTTGAATTTTACAGAGAAAAAATGTTATTTAATTGTATCATGTGCAAATATTTTATGTTTAATTTGGTGCATATTCAAAATGGCAACATAAGCAATCTATCTATGTTTTGCAACAGATCATGACTTTAAAAACATTATTTTCTGAATTATTTTTTATTTTTTTACAAGTTTAAAGATTTTTAAAGAACATTTTGTTAGAATTTACATTTTTCTCCTGTATTTAATTTTCGCCCTTTTCTTGAACACTTACATAATTTGCGTAAATCTACGGTGACACAAAGGTGACATGTGAGTGTTTTTAAAACTTTTTATTTATCTCGTGCGCACAAGATACTATGTTGTGGCCTTGAGTTACTAAATCATGGGCACAAGATAGTTCAGTCATGGGAATGAGATGCTATGTCGTGGCCACGAGTTAATAAGTCCTGGCCACAAGATAGTTAAGTTGTGGGAATGAGATAGTATGTCGTGGCCATGAGTTACTATGTCGTGGGAACAAGATACTTAAGTTGTGCGCACAAGATAAATAACCAATCAGGTTACACTATTTATATACATTTTCCTAATTAACTAGACATGTTCTATAGTATACAGATGCCCTTACTTCACCTGTCTGTAAATGTGCCCTTTATACAAGTTATTGATTGGTCAATGATTTTACATTTAGAATAATTTAGCAGTTTGCGAAATAAGGCACAGGCCCAATGCCCGAGGCTTTTAAAATCCAATTCGGGCCTGCAAAAATCCAAAGATTATGAGCCCGACGGGCCTTTGAATTCAGAATGTATTTTCATATAAAATAAGTTTCAATATTTTTCCAAAATAATTGTGTAGTACCTCATCAGTATATGTACTTCCAGTATGATTTGCGTAATGCATGTATGTCAATCATTTATGCATAATCTATATTATCATCTACAGCTTCTTGTTAGTGTAAATATACGGACAATGCTCAAGTATAATCATAAATGTTTGCTGGTTAAAGAACAAGTTATCGTAAATTTCTGTTGAAGAATATTTTATTTTTAGATTGACCCATTTAGCTGAAGTGAACCAGTGATTGGTTGTGTTTAATTAGAGGATATGCTCATAAGACATTGAATGCAACGGTTGATATTTGTTTTCATATTTTAAACAAATAAAGTGGAAAACAGTAGATTGACCAGTAATGTTGAGTATATAAGAAAAGAAAATGAGAATTTTATTGAAAAGTGGCTGAATGATTTTCCGTGCACAAATTGAACCTTAATGATGTGAATAAAACATAAACTAAACTGTTGTCTTTATTTTGCACAATAAATGTTTTGGGCATATGATATTCTGTCTGGGCCCATACTTCTGCCTTGGTTGAAGGCCCAAATGGCTTATGATCTAAAAAAGTTATTTTGCAGACTGATTTAGAACAATGACTGTCACCCTGATTTTTGACCCAATGACCTCAAAATTATAAGGTGTCATCTACTGATTGGGTGCAATGATTGTTCTAGGTTATATAAACCATGGCTTATTTCTTCTAAAATTTAGATGTAATTTAAAATTATTCATCAGGCAAGGATTTTACATGAAGTGTCATAGTTACCTTGTCGACCTTTGACCTTAAACATCCTTATAGGCTATCTACTGTCCATGGGCAATGTCCGTACCAAATAAAAATAAACCAGGACTTACACCTTCTAAAGTTATCATATAAACAAGGTTAACAGGCTGTTGTACGTACAAACTGACCAATTCTATCACAGAATTGACCCCACAAAGGGCTATAACTTAGTCAAAATTAATGTCTGATTTATGGGCTTTGGAAGGTGACTTTCTAATATGATCCTAAAGACATACATGTATCAAGTTTAAAGTGAATATCTTCAGTATTTTCAAAGATTAATGTTGCATGTAAAACTTTAAATGGGAGTTTAAAAAATTCATGTATATATATATTTATAGTGTAATCAGACTGGTTAATTATCTAATGCGCACCACTTAGTTATCTCGTTCCCAAGACTTGGTAACTTGTGGCCACAACTTAGTAACTTGTGGCCAACGACATAGTATCTCGTTCCCAGGACTTAATTATCTCGTGCCCACGACTTAGCAACTTGTGGCCACGACATAGTATCTCATGCCCACAACATAATATCTCGTGCCCACAACTTAATTATCTCATGGCCATGATTTAGGAAGGGTTTACATAGCGTATCAAAGATAATAAAACTCCCAAAAAGTGGACAAACACTTCCTTAAGACCTTCAGTGCCCACTATTGACTAAGATCAATCCAAGGCATTTTATTTCAAACACCAGGGGTTGTTATGAGGCCCCATTCTTAATCAAAAATAACTTTTTCTACCCATTCAAAGAAAATTTCCAACACCTGCCAAACATCAAAATGTTTCCCCTTATGAGACAAATTTATCTGAATTAAATTTATTAATCATTAAATAATGTCTTAATGACTTGTTTCATATAACAGCGAGCTTTACGGTAACGCTAGTACCTGCTAAGTGATGGTTTTGAAAACTTTCGCCCGAAGTACCAAATTGACACATCGCAACTTTTCGAATTACAAGATAACGCTAAAAGCTGATGTACTCTGATTGACAACGGAAGCGTAGACTGGTGTCCTGCGCACTTATACGGGGAAGTCAAAGACCGGGCCCGCAAAGCGGGTCCGGGCTTTGGCTTGCCCGGCTATAGACTACACGTGAATATTTAAAAGAAAATCAAATAAAAAACAATTAAAAAATATGTAGAATTCTATACCTATCAATGAAATTTTCAGTGTCAGTTCTAGTCAGGCGCCGCCATTTACAATGTATGTCAATGATAATAGGCGGGGTATTCCAATAACGGAACAAATCTCAACTTTTCGGATTAGTAATAATCATCGAGTGTTCCGAGTGAAAACTGAAGCAGTGTATGTAATATCGAATGACACCTTTAAAACGGAAAGAATGAAAGGATTTTTTTAACGACCTCCCTGTTTATAGGCTTTGCCTAATTTCATATTATAGGAACCATAATAGAAAGCGGAACCAGAATAAACGGAAGCAGTGTATAAAATACCGAATGACAATTTTAAAACGGAAAATGTAAAATAAAAATGGATGATTATTTTAAACTATTTTACGGTAAAAGAAAATCGAGCTCGCTTTGAGGCTTTGCCTTTTTCATATTAAAAAAACAACAGAAAAATGAATACATTTTTAGATAAAATAAATTAAAGATAAGATAGCTAAATAAAAATTATGACAAACCTTCAAATATTCTTCTGAAGAAAATATATCAACTTTGTTTGCTTTTACACCTTTAAGTGGAACAGTTATGAAAACAACTTTATCAGTCTGTTCCCATGTAAAATCCTTTACAATTAGAGGCATCTCTGACTTTATTTTGTTTTCTCTTAATGTTTCTAAAACCAAAAATCTAGAATATGCACGAACATGTAAATGTTGTTTACGGTGTTGCCGTAGCGATGCGATTTGTAATTTCTCCAAGTATGGATAAATTTTATTAAAGTGTATTATTTACAAATGCATATTTTGTATGGAATTTATTTTTAGAAAATGAATATATAAGGTCATAATATAATTTTATATGTCAATAAATCTAAAAAAAATAGCAGTAAAAAAGAGTTTGATAGAAAAAGAGTTCTATAAACTTATACTAAAATCTACAAATCAAACAAGCAAACGGTGTGCAATTTATTAGAAGATCGTGAAAAATATAAAATGAAACTAAAATCCGTAATAGCCGTACTCATTTTGCCCGGTAGCTATTTTTTTTAATGAGCTTCATCACCTTATCTTTAACAACATCTGCTTCACCACAAAGTAGATTTTGATTTTTAACTTAAGAAGTGTGAATAATAAGAATGACTTCTCATCACAAAAAACAAAAATGTCATCAACATCGGGTACTTCTTCCATAATTACCTTCCAATCTCAAAATACCTTAGTCTAGACCTATTCACTGATATAAACAACTACATTACACTTATTTCAAGAATAACATCAATTTCTGTAATGGGCAATGCAGGTTAGACTTTAGACTTGGTATTATTTAACCTGCTTTTATTCTCAAAATTTACCACAACGTAGTAGCCACCTTAGCCTTTCCACCAACATAAAAACTTCATCGAGGCTTACTAGACTTATGCACCCTACCATAAGTTCTCATTTTCTCCTACTGTAATTCACTTCAGAACCAGCTTCCTAGGAACATTCTTACCCTGACTGATCTTGACCAACTCAAACAGGCATTGATTAAAACACAGTATAAGTTGACTTGTTGTCTTTCAACTTTTAATCTTTCCTTGCAGACACTAATAAAAAAAAAAACATTTTAACAACAACTTGGAGATTTCAAAGTCTTTCACTCTCTTGAAAATGTACATTTTTAGGTTTTACTTTCTCTAGTAGTACATCCAACATTATAACTCTACCACTTGCGAGACTGGGATTGGCAGAACCCAGAGATTGGTAGAGAGAATAATTGACTCATCCCATTAGGTATCATTTTTTGGAGAAATTTTACTTTTAACAGTCTAGTGCAGCAGGAACAGAAATTACTCATTTTTCCAGGATAACAACTCTTGTACATGCGAGGTGTAAAGCATCGTTAAGCATAACACACCGGTTTTCCAAGATTCATGTGAAAGTGTTTTTTGTTAGCTAGTATTTAATTAAGTTGCAGCAGCAGGATCAACAATGGACCAACAATCATGGGAACCTCTACAAAAGTTACATGTATATAAATGGTCCCAGACTCATGCATAAGTAAGTCCCATGAACCAAAAAATCAACTTAAAAATAAAAAAAAAACTTAAAAATCTCATCAGAAACAACAATTCACATACTTATATATTTGGCATGTAACATCACCTTGTGGTCCTTCACAAAATCTGTATTTATAAATCATGCCCCTCAAGTCAAATTTAGGCCCATCCATGGAGTCATATAGTGTATATTTATTGCTGAAAGCAGTGATTTGGTCTTTTACAAATGCTACACATGCAAAAATTGTGACACAAGGTTAAAATTGTCTCTAGTGGTGACTTAGTTTACATAGACTTGTAATTAGAAAAAGCATTTGATTCTACATACATTTAGTTAAAACGTTTATGAGGATTAGAAACTTAAAGTCAGATTAATCACAACAAAGTAAAGGAACAACAAATAAATAGCTTCGTTTGACATATAAATATATTTTATTTGCTATAACTTGACATGGAGTAAATATTAATGAGTATTTAACAGTAAGAAAAACAGATATGAACAGAATAATGATGAAGATGTAAAGTAAGCCCTTTTTGATCACAGAATCACACAAGGCTCAAATTACCTCGTAATTCTTTGACACAAATTCAGCAGGATAAAGCTTATAATTGGTTACAAAATTAGGAGTCTCCGGAGCCTTATAATACCGAAAACTTTCAAAAGGTTTCATAGTTAATGTCACATGAAGCTTAAAAGGTAATCCACTGAGGTTTTTTGACATGACAGGGCAGGAAATAATATTTCTGAGATTAGTATTCTATTTGATTTAAGTAAAGACCATTTTTTTTTGCATAATTTCAGCTAGATCATTTGCCCACTCTGTTTTTCCAGAATAAAGATTTTAATTGTGAAAAATGACCCAAAATTAAAAAGCTTTGCAAAGCTTTTTACTCAAATCAGATTAAGAATATCAACACGATTTTCAATTTATTTCTGAGTATATTTCTATATTATCTTTTGCATATTTGTTTTTCTGCCCCAGCTGTTCTATTTAACCCTTTCCCCCATGAGCATATTGTGAAAAATGGCCATTTTCACTGAAAAGCCTCCTCTCACAAGTTCAAACTGCTATGAAACTATGAAAAATGCTTCAATACTAATCAAACTTGGCACAAATGTTGACTGGACCATTGCCTTTGTAACGACATGCTCAGTCTTAAATTTCCTGTTACCATGGCAACGAGGGGACATCTCAAAATTGCCAAAAATCACTTTTTTGCCTCGATATTTTCCATCAAAATTTATTTCAAAGTGCTGCAACTTCTCAAGGATTGAGATAGAGTCAAAGGCTTTTCAGCGTTGGTTACACGTTACCTTATGATCGACCTGGGGTCATTTTAAGCCTCTCACAAGTCCAAAATTTTCTTGGCGATGAGGGGGACTCCGCCCCCCTTCAAACCCCCCAAACAGAAGGGGGCACATCCCCCCTTCTGGCAACCCCCTGATGTAAATTTGGATGGGGGACGGCGCCGAAAAAATGGTCAATTTTTTTAACAACATTTCTCAAACGAAAAAAACAGTGTTTGGAGCCTAAATAGGCATTTTTTCACTGTTTGAGGCCACAAAAACGGGGGGGGGGGGGGGGGGGGGGGGGGGGGGGGGGGGGGGGGGGGGGGCAAAAAAAGCCGTCGAAACACGCTTATATAAGGGAAAAGGTTAAATAATTTTAATTTTATGTTTTTAGGCTTTTGGACCTCAGTGGAGTTCCTTTAAAACAATTTCCTTTAATAGGTCAGCAAAAAATAAACTGTATCTCATTAAAATTATCTCCTAACTGACACTCCACTATGTTATTGGTAGATAGACCATAGTTTCAGAGTGAAAACAAAAAGCTTATTTTAATGAGACTGAAAATAAAGCATTGTATACATGTACACGATGTACATGTACAATTCAATAACTGGATATCAGTTTTTCATTTTATATCTAAATAAATCAGTACTTTACCTGATATACTTTATACATAACAAAAGATTTAATGTCTAAGACTAAATTTCTGACCCTAAACAAATACAAAACTTTTAAAAAGTTTTACTATAACAAACTACAAATATCACATTGATTTCCCCTATATCAAATAAGATCATCATATATGACTAAACAATAATGTAACACAGTAGTTTGTAAAATATAAAAATATATCTGTCATCAAAAACAAATACTATTTTACATGAACACATGTTTAAATAATAACAACATTTCAAATAGTAATTTTTTTGGGAAATGATTATGATTAAAATGAATTGACTATTGTAAAACTTAATTTTCCACTTACAAGCTTGGCACAAAAGTATTTCAATACCTGTGTAAAACTCACATAAACTGTTATTACAGTACCCCTGTTATTATATACTATATGTACATTAACAAGGAGTAAAATATATGTCACGATCACTTCTTTTTCGGGTCAATCTTGTATAGTAACCTATACATTCTGACAAGACTAGAGTTCATAGACTTAAATTGTAGAAATTGCCTAGTATTTTCATTCTTTTAGGTTCCTCTCAACTTGTCATTTGGCTGATATAATAATATGAGCCGCGTCATGACAAAACCATAATAATGGGTTTGCAACCAGCATGGATCCAGACCAGCCTGCGCATCCACGCAGTCTGATCAGGATCCATGCTGTTCGCTATCAGTTTCTCTACTTGTTATAGGGTTTGTAAGCGAACAGCATGGATCCTGATCAGACTGCGCAGATGCGCAGGCTGGTCTGGATCCATGCTGGTCGCAAACCCATTATGTTGGTTTTCTCATGACGCGGCTCATATCATTCACTCATTAAACTGTGTCCCTGGTATTAATGCCGAATCAAGTTGCATCAGTTATAATGTCTTTCCCTTCAGGAACACCACTGAAACTTGGTGCTTTTACCGAGTTCTCAATACAATCTGAAAAAAAATAATCAGAGAAATATTATTTACAGCAAGTTATTATGTTCTGTTAACATATTTCACCAAAGTACAAAATCTTAGTTTAAACCATTTATAGTATTCATATCAGATTGTCAGTGAAGAAAGCTAGCAGTTTTATTTCAAACTACCAAGCCTGCTTCCTGGAACTAACCAGCACTGGTGTCATATGATGAAACATGGCTGTGCCCCAGTAGGGCTTGAACCTACAATTCCTGGGTTGAGAGGCAGACACCTAATAACCCTACCCTTATATCTTGACCATTTTATTTTTGCATGTAGAATAAATGAAGACTTATAATATTTTATGTGATATCATACTTTGTAACTTGAATGTGAAAGCTGTCAGAACTGTATAACATGGAATACACTGTATATATAATTATAAATCATATGTTGAACGAAACAAATACATGTAGATACAGCACATCTTATACTATTAGATTAAATCAGATCTATACATTTTAAAGGTTAAGTTAAAGCTCACAAACACAAATTATAATTAATAAAGAAACCAACAAAATATCCATGATTGCAGTCAATTAATTAACTTTTATCGTTATTGTTAAAGCACCATAACCATCATAAAATGTTATATAGCAATAGCATGGCTGACACAAGGCAATAAACAAAGTCTTATAAATATCTTTATGCAGAGTAAATAATAATAATAATAATTTGTCGATGAAGACATAAGAAGGATAGTGCCATACCTATCATGTCCAAAAATACATATCAAGTCTAAGATACTTCTATATGAAGTATCCTGCTGTTATATTAATTAACACAAATTAATTGTATTATGTTATTTGAACAGGTGTTTTATCTTTATTTTAAACACATCAATTAAGAAACAGAAAACATCATGTAATATTAGTGGTTCAGGTAAATTACATTTTGCAGGTGTAAAAACATATTAAGATATATATCATAGTAATTGTTGAAATGAAATATATTTCTGAATTACAATACTGACAGACTGAGAGACAATTATATAATATACATTATTCTTTATTATAAATAAGTTGGTCTTGGGGAAAGTATGTGTCAAATTATTCAAAACATTTAGCTGTATTATAGTGTATTCTTTCTCATCAATTACTAGATAACTGACCAGGCATCTGTATTCAACTACAATAAGGTCAGCGTGTGGGTATGTGGGTATAGACGTGGGGTTGTGGAGGTGGAGGCAGGGGAGGGGGGAGTCTTGGATTAAAGCAAGTTATATTGGTGTAGCTATAGATACCATGTCAAATCTGCCCTAATGCTAACTCATGCACCAAAAGCTATCACTGGATTGTGTGAGTCTTGCCTCGGAGTAATGGTTCTTGTTCATCTGAATCATACGAATCATCTTGAGTTATCTCCCTTCTTGTTCCATTTTCAGTAACTTGTTTAAGTAATGCAACTGCTGCAAAAATAAAACTTAAAGTTGAATAAGAAACAAATGGAATTTTGTCATAATGTTATAGAAATACATGTTTTCGCTTAATAATGGGAACACAAAACTGTATCTATTTTAATTTAATCTGGTGCCATAAACAATAAGCTTTCAACCCTAGATTATAGGAAGAGACGGAGCAAAAATTATGTAATCAAGAAATCAAAATATCAACTTTGAAGTTACATTATTTTTTAAAGGCTGATATTACTTTAATGACTTGACAACTTACTTGACTGTATGTATGTAGAATCAAAATGATTACCTTTTTTCCTACGTGTACCTAACACCTGAGGAAGTAACGTGACAAGTGCAATACCAGCTATTACACTCATTCCGCCTGGTACAAATGTCAATATATGTCGATAGTATGAAATACATAATGGACAACAACCACTGAAATATAAATGCATCAATATATGAAATACATATCAGTACATTACATCCATGTATTTAAATCCCTTAATCCATGTAACAACCCACCATGAGGAACAGAAAATGGTTGACTGAAACAGATAACTTTTGCACAACAATTGTTTCAATAGGACAATAAGAAACTGGATATTTGGGACTGGTTTTCTGTATATGGTCATTTTTTAGAATGAGCTATTGACAAGCACTTAAATGTGAACACTAATACAAATGAGCCGCGTCATGACAAGGCCAACATAATGCGTTTGCGACCAACATGGATCGAGACCAGTCTGCGCATTGGCGCAGTCTGATCAGGATCCATGCTGTTCGCTTACAAACCCTATTACAAATAGAGAAACTGATAGCGAACAGCATGGATCCTGATCAGACTGCGCGGATGCGCAGGCTAGTCTGGATCCATGCTGGTCGCAAACGCACTATGTTTGTTTTGTCATGACGTGGCTCAAATAATTTTATTTGGATACAATTTTTAATGCTGATTCTTGTAGCTCTTAACCTGCGATACTGAAAGTGATTGTTTACTAATACTTCACTTTTGCAGGAAACTGATAATTATACTTCTGAACATGCAAAAATACAGTGAAAATGATCATTGAAAGGATTTCATGATCAATCATCACAACAAAAGTGACCTGCAAAAACCATCTATTAATAGAATCTGGGTTGCACAGTGGATAGTCCAAAGCTGTACCAATTGAGCTAATCAAATGGTGCGTATTAAGCGATTTCTTACAATCAAAGACATTATATTATACACTGTATATAATATATACATACGCTCCACATGGATGAAGCTGTTGTATCAGGGCTATAGCTGCACCATTAGACAGTTTGTCTGTAAAACTCATAGCTCCATACACAAATGCTCCACTCTCCTGTAAAATAATATCATCATATATTGTTACCTACAAATCTTTTTTTATTTCAGTTTTACTTTGTTGGTTGATCCAGTAGTCGAACAAATGAATGAATCAATCAATCAATCAATCAATCAATGATTCTATCTATCAATCAATAGTTCAATCAATGTAAATGTGCTACATTATTTCAATAGCATTCACACAAATAACTTCCATTTAGCATAGATTTTGTCCATTATTTCAATAGCATATTTTTGTACATTTTATTTTGACCGCCGCATGGTATTACCTTCTTTAATAATTTTGACATCATGTCCATTGCATTATGATAATGCTACTGTATTTAGCAAAACGCTAAATAAATGCTGCAGATGTAATACATGTTGTTGTAGGATGTTTTTTGTTTAAAAGCATTTACTCAAATAACTTTCTTTAAGCATAGATTGTGAGATAAGTGATCCAAATATCTATCTGTATATGTAAGTTCACCTGTTGTTTTATGACCTTCTTCTATGTTCTTTCAAGTTTCAACAGTCAACCAAATTAACAATTTCTTAACAATCAATCATAATTTTCATAAATATAAATAAATTGGAAAAATGTTTACAAAAGTAGTTTTAAAGCAAAACATGAAGCAGAAATCTTACGGTATTTTCACCAATCAGATCTGCAGTCATGGCAAGGGAGGTAACTAACATTGTAGATCCCCCTACACCACTGAGTATTGCTGCTCCATACACAAGTTTACTCCCGGTAGGAAGGAAATAGAATGCTGCACAGGCACCTATTTGAAACCCGATTCCTATTAAATAGGTCACCTAAAATGCAGGAAAAGAAATAAAAAAAAAACAAACAAACAACAAAAAAACTAATACATGTCAAAAAGAAATTATTTTAATAAATACATGTATATTGTCTAAGACTTAAGAAAAGGAATATTTATATGTCATATAAATGAAACATGGTGTCAATTTATCAAATCAGGTCATAAAATTACAACTCTGCTCATTGAAGTTCAACATATTTTAATCAATTTATCAATTTTCTTTCTATTAGCATAGATGTTTAATATTTAAAAATACATAACTTAAGCTGTATTGTTACATGTTAATTAGGCAAAGCCTTGAGATATATATAGATGTCAATTTTTTGGGTTGTGGAAACAATAATATGTAGTACGTGTTTTAAATATCTTACAATATTACATCAATCATGGCTACTGTCAGAAATGAATCTACACAAATATGAAATTCTATTTATCATGTGGCCAACATAAGAAGAACTGTTTACAGTAAAAATAATCCTTTTTTGTTATTGAAGCACCTACAGTGTAATGCTTACATTTAGCGCGTCTTTCTAATGACATCACATCAAAATATATGCACTACAGTGCAATACTGTTTTACAGTGTTCTAAAATCGGCACAGGTTTGAAATAAATTATATTATAGATAGATGACAATATAACAATACCAACCTTCCTGCCTACAGCAGCATTCACATATTTCATGAGCAAAGATGTGACAAAACCACTCACATACACTATTAATGGTATAATTGCTATAGAATCCTGAAATTTCAATAATTATAATAACATAAATGTACATGTATTTCTGTAAGCATTATTCAATTCATTATTAAAAACTTTTCATCCTTACAGGCAACAAATTTAAGCTTTATCTTTGATAACAATATTTTGCTTAATTATGTGCCGTCAGAACAGGATATACTTTACTTCCATGCTATTAAACAAGTCTAGCCTATGTAGCTATGCAGATACTTCTATGTTGTCAGAACATGGCAATCTTTAATTCTGTGTTGTCAGAACATGACAATCTTTAATTCTGTGTTGTCAGAACATGACAATCTTTAATTCTGTGTTGTCATAACATGACAATCTTTAATTCTGTGTTGTCAAAACACGACAATCTTTAATTCTGTGTTGTCAAAACACGACAATCTTTAATTCTGTGTTGTCAAAACATGACAATCTTTAATTCTGTGCTTTCAGACCAGTACAGCCTTTAATTCAAAACCTTACTTTTTGGCTGTTAAAATGAATGCTTTATGAAAACCATGAATTAAATTCTTTGAAATGACCGTGAACTGGCCACAGATTTTATTTTAATTTATTCTTATTCAAAATATGTCTTTATATGAATTATCAGTATGGAAAATATATTAATATATAAATAAATATATGAACATACCTTATCAAGTTTTAAAGTTTCAGTTAAATACATGGGTAGATACACCTGAGATATGTTCACAACAAGACGTGTTGACATGTATATAACAGCTACCTACAAAATAGCGTTTTAATTAGTTATTTGACATATCCAAATATACATTTTTAATACTGAACAACATGTATTACTATATGTGAATTAAGCAAAGCCTTACATATTATTAACCCATTGCTTCATGAGCATTTTGTGAAAAATGGCTGTTTTCATTGAAAAGTCTTCCGTTACAAGTTCAAATTACTATAATACTATAAAAACTGCTTCAACACTAATCAAACTTGGCACAAATGATGACTGGACCATTGCCCTTGCAACAACATGCTCAGACTAAAATTTTCTGTTACCATGGCAACGAGGGGACATCTCAAAATTGCCAAAAATCACTATTTTGCGTTGATTTTTTCCATCAAAATTGATTTCAAAGTGCTGCAACTTCTCAATGGATTGAGATAGAGTCAAATGCTTTTCAGCGTTGGTTACACGTTACCTTATGATCAATCTGGGGTCATTTACAGCCTCTCACAAGTCCAAAATTTTCTTGGCGATGAGGGGGACTCTGCCCCCCTTCAAACCCCCCCAAACAGAAGGGGGCACATCCCCCTTCTGGCAACCCCCTGATGTATCTTTTGGTTGGGGGGCCGCGCCGAAAAAGAGGTCACTTTTTTTAACAACATTTCTCAAACAAAAACAAGTGTTTGGGGCCTAAATAAGGCATTTGTTCATCATTTGAGACAACAAAAAGGGGGGGGGGGGGTGAAAAAGGCGTTAAAAGGCGTGTATATGAAGTAATGGGTTAATATTTCCAACACCGTTTGCACTATTCCAGTATCAAACAGATATGGACATCAAGTGCATTATTACAAGATAAATGCGCAGCATATAAAACAAATGCTTACATGTCATGTGACGTCATATATGACATCAATAAACCAAATGATGTCAGGAAAATAAAGACTATGTTCAATGTAGTTCAACATAATGAAAATAGATATTTATTTTTCTTGCATTACACATGTAGTACAAAAATGCACAGTTTATTGTTCAAATGCTATGTTATTAATCACTCAGGCCTATTGGCCTTTGTAATTATCTTCCTGCCCATTTGAAATCAAACAGCACATTATTCTACAACAATGCATTCAAAATTAATATCTATTTCCTAAATTTCATATGGCATTTTCAAAACAAAAATTATAAAAAAAATTGAAATTCAATATCATTTATAATCATATTTCTTATTACATAATTCTATTTATTTCCTTTTGCTTTGTACATGTAAGTCAATAGATGGGACCAACATAAAATAATTTGAACTTTCTTGAATGGATACAATACAATAATACTAAGTTTAAAGCTCCATGCCTCCAGATGAGCCAAAATATTTAAAGAAAATCAAACTTGAGAACAATGTACTAAGATTTAAATAATAGTAAAAATATTCAAGATTTCAAGTAATAATTTACATGTTATGCACAATAAATGACTGATTTTGCAGTATTTTTCACCATATTTCTACTGCATGAGTAACACAATAAGGGCTATTTTTTTTTTACATATTTTGACCTTGTTCTTGGTAATTTACGTAGATTGCAAGTGCCACTTGCAATGTGTTCATAACTTTTCTGTTCACTTCACAATATTTTACTTTTAAATATATTCTCAAAATTTTCATGTAAATTAGCAATGAATTTAGAGGCATGCTGCTTTAAAGAGATCCTGACTTAATATCTAATTTACAGATAATTAATTAATTATCAAGCACCTGTCTAGGTCATGGCTTTAAAAGTTCGAAAAGGAGGGCAAATATAAGCAATCCTTACTTGATAAAACTGATGTTCTTTTAACCAGCATTTCCAGGACATGACAACTTGTTTCATGGTAGATTTTTCTATAGTAAGCATGGAAGCTGAGTCATTGAGAGACTCCGGGTTGTTCTCTATTGCCCTCTCCCTCACACCAATGTGAAATATTATACTAAACAATATACCAATACTAACAACTATAAGAACCAGCATCTGAAAAAAAAAACATTTAATTACTTTTATTATTTTAAAAGTTTGTTTGTTTGTTTGATTGGGTTTTACGTCACAACGGCACAGTATAGGTCATATGGCGATGTTCCAGCTTTTCTGGTGGAGGAAGACCTCCGGTACCCTTCCGTGCATTAGTTAAGGCATAAATCAGCACCCAAGTAGAACCACTGATGTTCCGTATTTTTTAAAGAATTATGCTGCAATACTTCAATATTACTATACTACCACATATTTCAAGCACTGCAATATACATGGCATGATAATAAGTGTTTGATATTGACTAAGAATTTTTTTTTAAGTTCACAAAAGGTCTTATTTCATCAAATATTCATGCCAGATATATGTGTCTTGAAAAGTGACTGTGAATTGTTATTCTAAAAGACTGAATCAAGTTTCAAGTGGATACAATCTATAGTTTCATGAAATATTAATGTTGCAAGTTGTTAATCCAAAAATTTCTAAATTCACAAAGGGCCACAATTCATTAAAAACAAAACAGAGTTAAGGCCCCTTGAAACAGGCATCAATTAATGATCCGCAAGACTTCTATAAAGTTTTATTTGAATAACTTCATCAGTTTTGAAGACTGATGTTTCATGCAAAACTTAAACCAAGAATTTTCAAAAAGGGCCATAATTATGTGAAATCAAAGTTATGGGCCATGGATAGTGACCAGACCCCATATAGTATGCTCTTAAATAAGTGTGAGAAGTTACAAGCAAATAACATTAGAGGTTGATTAGACATGATGTTGCATGCAGAGCTTTAATCAAAGTGTTACACCAATGCCAAAACACCAGGATAAATAGGATAGCCATACTATTCTTCAAATAGTCAAGTTAAAAATCCAGATATGTTAACAAAAAGAATTATATTCTTTGTATTAAGATCTCTAATCTGTCTTGTGGCATCTCTATAGGTACATGTACATCAATTTAAGGTTTAATGAAGTACTTGAATATTTACAGTATTAGATGATTGATTTAATTGTACCTGAAATCTGGAAGAATCAGCAGGGCCTAGCTGCTCCGAGGCATCAGAAGTTTGATGTACATCAAACAGTAACCATGCAATACCATACACCATCATGTTAGACAAAACAGTAAATGCATACCTGAAAATGATGAACAAAGATGACCAAACAGTCAATTAAACAAAGTATAAACATACATGTTTAAATACACTTAACTGTAAATATCAATAAAAAAGTGCATGACAACTAAGGATATATAGTTTGTAAACTCTAAACCAGAACTCTGCACAAATTTTCTCCCAGAGAAATAAGTTGAAGACAATAATTATATTCAATGCAATTCATTCATATTTGTTAATTTAAGGGATTTATAAGGCATAAATGGCAGCAGTAGTTGTATTTAGTCCTTCTACAGAATACAGGGAAATAAGGTACATGATAAGAATTCAATTTCAACCAGATAAAGAAACAAAACAAACTCAAGTTTGACAGCATATAATTATAGCAAAATAAGACATTCATTACTCGGTAAACATTGTTGATAAAAATAATATATATCTAGGTAATCAAAAGATTGCTACAAAAAAAATCAAAATGCGTGAGAGCACATTTTTTTTATAAAATGACAGCAAAATACTATGTCTTGTAAGCAATGAGGGGTTACCTGTAACCGTTTAAACCTACTCTCTCGTTGGCACAATCTGTGAGATCTGGTATAAGTGAAAGATGGTTAATTTGTGTAGAGGCCCAGCCAAACTGGAATATGACAACAAATGGAGCATAATAGATGAACTGCGACCAGTCGGGAGCGTTATCACACGTAATACAGCCGAGAAATAAAAACGGAAAACTGCACATCACACATATTGTACCTGAAAGTCAAAGAAATTAGAAAATAATAACAAAATGAGCCATCACAAAAGCTCACCTTGAGGACATTGTCCTCAGGTGAGCTAAAAATGACATAAATATTTAAGTTAAAGCTAGCTATCCCTATTCTTAAAATAGTGGAGCAAAAAATTAATAATTTTTTGCCAAACAATTAAATAAGAAAGTAGACTCACCAATAAAATGCCAGGTTTTCCTTTTACCCATATTACAGCATCCTTTGACCCGATCTGATTCATATCCAATAAATGGTGTGAACACAGCATCACTTATCTGTCCAATCAGAACTAAATCTCCGGCTAATGCATTGTTAAACTTCTTCACTTGATGGAAGTAAATGATCATGTAGGTGAACCACATAGATGCCGTCAAATCATTCAACACATGACCAACACTGTATGCAAACTTCTGCACCAATGGCAATGATTGTTTGGTGATAAGTCTTTGAGAGGACATTTTGTCTAATTTTTTAATTCAAATTTCGACAACAAATTTTTTAATGATATAATATTCTAGACACAGTTTTTCAGTCAAATAACTCCCAACTGTGCCACAACACTTGACTGTAGATGACAAGAGACTATAATAACACCTCTATGTCATATGACAAAGTATCTCTGTTAATTTTTTATTAGCACCATAAAAAGCATAATATCCTCATTAAAATATAATTTTAGTTTAAAATATACTGATTGACTTTAGTCATGTGAGTTTGTAGGGTTATATAATAAGTAATAGTTTAACTTCATCATTATCTATGCTATGTAAATTTATGTCTATAGATAAAAAAACCTTTTACAGTCTGATTATATCTTGTCGGTAGATAACAACTTGTGGGTAGATTAAAACTTGTGACTGACGAATGATAAAGATAATACTTCACTTGTGAATGTTGTAATTATAATACACTAAATGGTTTCTTAATGATTTTCATGTGACAGAATAAAATCACGGTAATGCACCATTGGGTAAGGTTCAACCTAGTATTCACAACTTTTATCACATGCTCTCCATATACTAGTACATATAACTGTACTACATATCTAGGTCATTCTTACAGGTTCAATCTTTGAAGATATCACGCTTGCACTTAGGAATTCATCTGGAAGAGAGAGAGAGAAAAATAAATTCATTATGAAGTTTATGTTAAATGTTTATAGAGATCAATTTGGAACCTGCTGCATTTTTCAGATATGAAACTTTCAGTTTGGAACAGTCCAAAGAGATAAGGAATTTCAATATCTCAATACAATAATTTAGCTTAGCCAGCAGTAAACAGCCTGGCCAAACTCAATTCAAAGATACAAAAGACGGAAGGTGACAGAAAGCAAAAAGATTAAGGACAGAAGGTAAAAAAATTAAGGACAGAAGGCAGAATGATTACGGACAGAATGTAAAAAAAATTAAGGACAGAAGGCAGAATGATTAAGGACAGAAGGCAGAATGATTATGGACAGAAGGCAGAAAGATTAAGGACAGAAGGCAGAAAGATTAAGGACAGAAGGAAGAATGATTAAGGACAGAAGTCAGAATGATTAAGGACAGATGGCAGAATGATTAAGGACAGAAGGCAAAGAGATTAAGGACTAAGGCAGAAAGATAATAAGGACAGAAGGCAGAATGATTATGGACAAAATGATTATGGGAAAAAAGCATAAAGATTAAGGATAGAAGGCAGAAAGATTAAGGAAACTAGAAATGTGTCCATAGGACACGGATGCCCCCACGGATGCCCCCACACGCCACTGTTCTGTCAATCTTATGACTTTAGGTCAAATATTTTTTGGACTACATGTGCCACAAGTTGAAAACTAATATTCAACAAAGGGCCATAATTCTGTTAAATTTGGTCGCAGCAAAAATTCCTTCCTTTACTACCATCTACACATTAAGGTTGTTCATTCCTGGAAATTTAAGCAAAATCTGCCATCCGGTTTAAGAGGAGTTGCGTTCACAAAATTTCTACATAGTATATAGTGAAAAAATCAACAAAGGGCCATAATTCTGTTAAATTTGGTCGCAGCAAAAATTCCTTCCTTTACTACCATCTACACATTAAGGTTGTTCATCCCTGGAAGTTTAAGCAAAATCTGCCAACCGGTTTAAGAGGAGTTGCGTTCACGAAATTTCTACATAGTATATAGTGAAAAAATTAACAAAGGGCCATAATTCTGTTAAATTTGGTCGCAGCAAAAATTCCTTCCATTACTACCATCTACACATTAAGGTTGTTCATCCCTGGAAGTTTAAGCAAAATCTGCCAACCGGTTTAAGTGCAGTTGGGTTCACAAGATTTCGGGACAGACGTACGGACGGACGGACACTCGGACGGACGGACACTCGGACAGACAAATGCAACGCTATATGCGCCCACTCTGTGGGGGCATAAAAAGGCAGAATGATTAAGGAGATTAAGGAAAAAAGGCAGAATAATTCTGGACAGAAGGTGGAAAGATTACCAAATGAGGAAAAAGTATTATGGACAGTTAGGCAGAAGTATGGAAGGACAAACTGAGAGCTATAACTCTGGTATGAAAATAACACAACTGATGTTCAAGTAAAAAGAATATTTCATGAATAATTTATAGAAAAGGCAGAAAATCTTTTTTAAAAATTAACAAATTATAATTGAACAATTTAAAACTTTAAATTATCAAAGAAAATGTATATCCAACTTGTTATATTAATCCAAATAAGAAAAAATCTCTCCAAACTTTAAAAAAAAAATGAAATAAATTGTGTGCTATTTTTATCTAGACAAGGAAAACATTTACAAAATGAAACTTTCTTTCACCTATCTAAATGAATTGCTTTTACATAAAATTTAAAACTACCTCATTATTCAAAATATGTACATACCGTTACATTAAATTCATTTATCTTCCTGATAAAATTCACCTGAGAGAAAATAAAATTAAACATACACTCCTGACTGTTACAGGTACACCTTAATCACATAAAGTAATACCTTTGACAGAGACCACCTCTTGATTACCATAAAACACCAAACCTCTAAAAAAAGTCACATTTTCCTTAAATCATCTGAGCAACTTTCAGAAGAAGAAAAACCCTGTTCTCAGAAATCACTTACTGATAAAGACCAATACATGTATTTAAATTCACTTTGTATTACTTGCCTGGCATTTGAAAGGCCTCGCAAAGTTGCATGATTTCAAATGTTAAAAGTTTAAAATTCAGACCAAAAAAAAAAATTATGTGAGCATTTTCTTCATTTATTATGTGTGTTTCCAGTCAAACTTTGAATAAAAATATAATGCATTATATGTGGATTCCATAAATAATGAATTTATTTTTGTCTTAAGTCATGCATTGTAGATCCCATTAAATAATAACTTTATTTATTGTGCATAATGTTTTGGTTCAGTATTAATTAAATTTAATATTGGTTCACATGCATGACAGTTTTACAAAGAAGGCATTTACAATAAAAAAATGTTGACAAATAAAATTATTTTGCCTGGTATCTGGTCTTGTTTGTCAGGTTTGACAGTATCTATCTAATTAAGCATAATTAGTAAGCCTGTCACATGAGGAAATATGTTAATGAAGCTATAATAACTTGTAAATCAAGATATGGTAAAATCATTTAAGTCTTAGATAAGGCTAGCTCATACAAACAAGTAAACATCACATGGTTTTCATGTAACTAAACCATAATAACAAGTGTTACATCTGTTACAATATATATCCTAGAGTGTATGTAATGTACTAGTGATGTATCACTTAAACATTACTGTTTTTATGTTATTGAGCTTGAATTGTCTTATTGATAGTGAAATTAGTTTTTAATCTGCACTTCTTTGATATTTTATCACATACCCATGTCGCTTTATAAAAGACGGTATAATAGGGCCGTGATATATTGTGATGCGACATCATTTGCATTATACATTTTAACCATATCGTAAAGACATGCTATAAATTATGTAAGCATTACACTATAGGTGTATCAATAAAAAATGTCAATTTCTTAACAATATTATATCTTTGTACAGCTTCATAACTAATTAAAAATTTACTGAACTAGTTGAATAAAATAATATGCTTGTCAGTGTGGATCACGTTATAAAGATGGACTTACCGTACAACAGTATTGTGGTCAACTCTATAAATGTGCCAGCTGATGTTAGTCTAGCCCTAGTAACATGAGAAGATTCAGATGTCACCAGCAGACAAAGGATTAAACCAATAATGAAAATAGTGCTTACTGGCTTTTTATTTTACTCCTAGCCTAACATTTTTGAAAATTATAACAAACTTTTTCAAATTAAGTTTGTATGTACTTCATAACAGTTATTTTAATTATCAGAATTTTGGTGATGAGATCTAAATCTCTGACCTACATTATAAAGTGACTCTGTATTAAGTTCCTATAACACAAGATATGTCATGAGACTTGATGAGTATTTACTCCCCATGTTGTGTTTTTATCTTAAAATTGAGATAAAATTGTACCACTTTGTACCAGAGTTTTCAATCCCTTAAAAATGAAGAACTTCAATTACAAATCTTTCATATTAAACATGGTCAACATTTATATTAAAGTCAAAAATGTGGTTTTATCAATTAAATAGGCCTACAAATCTAACTTAACTTATTAAATATTTTATCATTTATATGTATGAAAGAGCATATAATTTGTTATTATCAAATATTTTAATACAATGCAAATATAATCTTCCATTAATAATTTTTTACTACAGAAAGTTAGTTATATTTTGACCGTTTTGGACAGGTTATGAATGTTTGTTTGTTTTGCTTGAAAAGTTTGTTGTTCAAAGTTTTATTTAGAGCAGGAATAAACTAATTAAATAGTACACAATAATTTTTATGATAATTACATTACATCACCTGACATCTTATCAGAGTTATTCAATTATCTATCTACAGTTGTTTTATCTACACTTTGTGATTAAAATCTTAATATAATTATATTAACTGAATGTCTTCATGTATTTCCATAAATATTTGCTTCATATATAATTAGTTTAATTATGTTGGTTTTTAAAACTAAAAATTAGTAAATCCTTTTTAAAACTAATTCCATGTACATTTAAAGATCACACAGTCATGGTAAATTCCTCAGTCATCCCCCCCCCCCCTCCACCTTGCATGGGCAGTCTATATTTAAAGAACAAAATAAAGTAATAGAAAGAGCATCGAAACACGAGGCTATCTGATTTGTACGAGGGGGCTAGCCCCCCCCCAAATATATATAAATTAAGTGATGTGAAGTTGTACAAGTAATAGAAAGAGCATCGAATCACGAGGCTATCTGATTTGTACGAGCCCCCAAGTATTAATCAGATTGCCGAGTGTTTTGATGTTCTTTCTCTTTTGTATCATAGTCAAACATAAAAACACCTTCCCTGTTGTCACAATATGAAACCCCGGGAAAAAGTAACCAATGAACGAGCATCTGAACATGATAAATCTGTCGCTTTCCCTTTCTCTTCTGTCACAATATGTAAAACCCAGCAAAAATGAGCCAATCAATGGGCATGCTCTGGAGTGCCGGTAACTTTTAAATACCTGCACTCCAGTTAACGCACTGTGCATGTATATGTATACAATTTAACTCTGACACATTTTCAACAGAAAAGTCCCCAAACTATGATACAATATTTTAATAAACTATTATTTCTCTCTAAAATATCTCTTTCAATTTTCAAAATCAACAAGATACCGGTACATGCACTTGTATTTTAATATATAGTAAAGTTAGTGTCCGCTCTATAAAGTGGATGCAACCTCCTAAGAAATTCATAAGTTCTTTTAAAACAGTAGAGATATTATTTCGGTATTGTATGAAAAGAAAACATTATAAGAACTGAAAATATAAATAAAAATGCTTTTTATTGCTGTTTTAAAAGGCTTTGTAAATTATATAATTGAGGGTGAAAACATAAAAGGCGCATATACAAGTAGTCCCTAACCAGTGTTTATTGGCAGTTTAACACCGTTTTTTTTCCTTCTTTGTCTATAGTAACAAAATCACGTGGAGTGATAGAATGTGACATGTACAAGAGCTTCACTGAGGTCCAAAAGACTAAAATCATAAATTTTTAGGTAACTGATCAAGGGGGGATTAAAAAGAAAAAAAAAAAAAAAAAAAATAAAATTTAAAAATAACAAAATAACGAAATTAACTTTTGTGGACACTTTAAAGCTGAATTCAAGTTATTTTTTGGTCATTTTGCACAACAATAAATTATCAGTCTGGAAAAAAAAATGGAGTACACAAAATTAAAATTTTGTACACAAGTTATTTGTCTAGACTTACATAAATTGGGTTACAAATCTAGAAAAAGAAGGCCCCTTAGTATTTCCAGTCAAGTCAAAAAACCCTCAGTGAAGTCCCATTGATACTTTTACATACTCAGTCAAACAAGGAAAAATCAGCTTGCCAGCTGTCTTAAAGTGGCTACATACTTAGTAAAAAGCAATTAACAAGTCAAGGATATGATATGATATGAGTTAAAATAAACCAGTTAACTTTGTTATATAATAACCCATTAAAATTCTTTTTCCCTTACAATAATTCATTGTTAAGTAAAGTCACTCACCTGTGTCCAAATAAAGTCTACTTATAAATAAATGTCATTAAATGAATAAAATGCACTAGCAATATTTCACATGAAAATGACACAAAGTCCTTAAAACACCACATTAACATACATAAGATTAATTCAGAACAGTATACTCATTCATAGATTTAAGTCAAATTGTACATACCATCCTTTTCCCCATTTAGCCCCATTTAATGTAAATGTTTAGGTGTACTTTTTTTTCCCAAAAAAAGCATTCTTTAAATTTTAAAAAATAATGGATATGTAAACAAGTTAAAATCAAGGTTTTATTGACTTTTATTAAAAATTTTTGAAAATAGTTTTGTTTAGTCTCAAGAGAAAAACATTCGAGAAAATTTCCCAGGTTTTTGTTACTGTAAATTTTTTAATGGTTACAATAAAAATTAAATTTTTTCTGCAAAAGTTTTCATCCAAAAATTAAAATAAATCGCTTCTTTACATTATCAAATGGGCTAACACCCAAAAGCTTTAAATTTTAACTTTAATTCACCCTTTACATTTTAAAATAACATTTTATAATTTAAAGTTTTTTCATTCCTAACACAATGTTAAACCAAAAAAATTTAAAATAATTTTTTTTCCTTTTAAATTTTTAATTTTTGAAAAATTAAAGTTTAAACTTTTTAAAAAACCACATTTTTTTTTTAAGAAATTTGAAAATTTTAAAATTACTTTTCTTCCATTTTTACAAACTTTAATTTAACAAAGATAATTTCCTTAAAGGATTATAGCTTTTTTTACATTGAAAGGGATGGAAAATTTTTAAAAATTTTCCATAATTTTTGTTGAGGTCTACACAAATAATTTTAAAAAATTTAAGCTTTGTTAACTAATTAATTTCTCCGAAGTTTATTGAAGCATTCCCCAAAATGGAAATTTTGAAATTTTCATAAAATTTAGTGAAACAAAAATAAATTTTTTAAAATTTTTCAGAGAAAAACTAATATTTTTTCATATTTATTTTTAAAGTGTATCTTTAAAAAAATTTTAAGTTTTTAATTTTGGTTTTAATTTAAGTTTTTTTTATTGTTGAAAAAAAGGGGAAAAATTTTTATGGCCTCTATTGAAAAAATGTTTTCAATTTTTGACACGATGCCTCTTTTTTTGAATTTTTTCCGGGCCCCATATGGACTAAAGGAAAATTAATACATTTTTGGGCATAAAAATTTAAAAAATAGTTCTGTTTGTAAAGATTCATTACCAAAAACTTTGGAATACAGAATTCAGTTTTTAAAATCATTTTTTGACCCCAAACTTAAACCTTTTTTAAAATTTAAAGAAAAAATAAAAAGTAGTACATAGTCAAATAGAAATTGTCTTAAAAACCCCAGATCATAAATAAATTTAGCCTTCAATACAATTAGGGGGAAAAGAAAAGAGGTATAATAAAAGGTGTATTAAGATATTTAAATCTTTTTTTTAAAACTTTAATTTAAAATTAAAAATAATATACAACAAAATTATAATTTTAAAAAATTAATAAAACAAAAAATTGTAAATTCTAAAATTTTACCCAAATAAAAAAAAACTAGATCAATAATTCATCAATCTCATTAAATTTTAAAACCCACTTTTCAAAATTTTACCCTAAAAATAAAAAAAAAATAAGCCTTTCCCTAAAGCTAGATATAAATCTTTTAAAAAAATTTTTTAATATTTTTTTATTTCTAAAAGAATTTTGAAAAAAAGAAAACAGGGTTTAATTTTTTCGGTGGTTACCTCATTTACCCTCATTCAATCAATTTTAAAACTACATAACACTGACAGGCAATTTATAAAATAGTGATTCAGTTACTGATAGGTAATTAACCTAGTGATTCAGTCACTGATAGGTAATTAACTGTTCTAGTGATTCAGTTCCTAAAAGGTAATTAACAAGTGATTCAGTTACTGAAAGGTAATTAACTGTTCTAGTGATTCAGTTCCTAAAAGTAATTAACAAGTGATTCAGTTACTGAAAGGTAATTAACTGTTCTAGTGATTCAGTTCCTAAAAGGTAATTAACAAGTGATTCAGTTACTGACAGGTAATTAACTAGTGATTCAGTTACTGAAAGGTAATTAACTGTTGTAGTGATTCAGTTCCTTAAAGTATTAACTAGTGATTCAGATACTGACAGGTAATTAACTAGTGATTCTAATTAACTAGTGATTTAGTTACTGACAGGTAATCAACTTAACTAGTGATTCAGTTCCTAAAGGTATTAACTAGTGATTCAGTTCCTAAAAGGTAATTAACTGGTTATTCAATTACTGACAGGTAATTAACTGTTCTAGAGATTCAAAGACTCACTGGCAAACTAACCAAACAAGTTATTCAGCTACTGATAGGTAATCAATTTAACTAATGATTAAGTTACCAACAGGTTACTAGTGATTCAGTAACTGACAGGCTATTACAGTAACTGACAGGCTATTAACCTTGTGATTCAGTAACTGACAGGTAATTAACTAAAGTAGTGAATCAGTGGCTAGTGGGTGATTTTCTAAACTAGTGATTCAGTAACTATTGTGATTTAGTAACCGACAGGTAATTAACTAAACTAGTGAATCAGTGGCTAGTGGGTGATTTTCTTATTCAGTTACTGACAAGTAAATAACTAGTGTTTCAGTTAAATCAGTTCTCCTTGTATGAATTTCTGATAATAAGTTCCGAGAATCACTTTTTAGCAAAATTTTTATCTTGTTACCATAACAATCTATTGCTAAAATTTATTAAATCAAAATCTATGTTGCTATATTACATTGACTAACATTATTTATACAACTACTTTAATCTGACTTAAAGGTCAACAAAATGCTTTAAGTACAGTTAAATCATCTGACAAGGAATTTTACCAAATGTTTTTATATACATGTATCTATTCAAATCATATTATCTTTTCTTTATTTAAATAGCTCAAAACAATATTTTATATGTTGTATTTGTATCTGCTTTAACCATACATATTTTCAATACACACAAACATAACTTCCTGAGTTTGTAAAAAAATGTTGACGGTCTATTTGTTGAACATTTAAAATATTTCTTAAAATATAAAATCGATATCGGAACTAAAACAATCAATCACTATGACAATCATTTAAACATTTAATAATGTGTCTCATACACCACTTTGTTGTTTTAAAAATTGTTCCATTACATCAATTAAATGTTTTTAGAACATCAATTATCTATCTAATTGGATATTTATGAAGTCACTAATAATCTCTCTAGCTCTATATATAGCAAATATCCTCTCTGAAAGTTAACCTTGCCCTGGCCGTCATCTAGCATTAACTTTTTTTATTTCTACCATCTTCAAAGAGATTCTGAGATAGCATAGAGGTGAGATTTGGCACTGATTTTCATTGATAAAAAAATTTCATCCAAAGAACTGCCCTCCAGTTGACAGAAAAGATCTTTTAGGTGCAGGAACTGGCATCATGCCAGGACGACCACTGGTACCTGGTCTACTGGGAGCTGCTGAACTCTTGTACTGGAACTGATTGAGAGAGGAACCAGACGAGGTCTTTGAGAACCAGCCTGAACCCCCAGAGCTGTAGTTACAAAAATAAAAATATCACATAAAAATCAAATCATTGTAATCAGTATCTATTAAGGAATAATTGAATTTAAATTAAAGCCAACTCAAAGCTTTTTAAATTTAAAAGCCAACTAATAGCTTTTAAAATTTTACTAATATTTTGGACACTTTTGAGGCTAAATACACACGTAAAAATAAAAATACAACATCAAACATCATTTTTTTTATGATCAGTCTTTATTGCTTTGTGCCTGGCTACAATTTGCTAAACAAATATTTTGCAGTTGTATAAAAGAAATATAAACATGACAATGTTTCAGCATAATCATTATCAATTTAAAAGCACAAATACTTAGATTTTTTCTTACTTTCAGGGGTGTGCAATCCCATTTTAATTGAAATAGTGTAAGATTTATTTATTTCAAACAGAACTGACTAGGATGTTATTGTGGTAATATAAAATGTATGTAAAATATAGTGTACCTTGTTGTAGTTGTAGAACTTGCAGACTTCTTTTTACCATATCCTCCTTTACTTGCAGCCTTACCTGTTGTTGCCTTCTTCTTACGGAAAAATGGCTGGAAAATAACATGTTACAATATGTACTTTTATATTACCAAAATCAGAAAGACAAGAGAAATTATAATCACAATCCATTTTGAAATTGTACATTAAATTTTGTTTACAACAGATGATTTTCTAAAGCAACAATCCACCTGTCACTGGTGAAGAAATACCTAAGTAGATATCTATGTATAAATCCAAGTATCAGTATGAAAGTCATCTTTTTAGTTCAGACATTAAGATTGCATTTAATCTGTTCTGTCTCTTGTTATCTTATATTTTAAGGTCTTTATTAAAAAGTAGAATACACATCACAAAACTAACCTTTTTATTTCCTCCGCCTCGACTTCTACCCCTGCCACGCCCTCCTCGTGAGTAATTTGATGTATTAGAACTAGGAAAGTAGTCGGAGGTTGTAGATGTTAACCATTCTTCAGGATCACTATCTTCAGCAACCTGTTCTGTCTCTTGTAAAGCTAGTAAATAAAGCAGAAACAAAAACCTTAACTACGACTTGTACTCATTACTAGCATTATTTACTCTTCTATTAGTTCATACAAATTTATTTTAGTATGATTATGTTGAAAGCTTATTACTCTCAAATCTGTTCCTGGATCCAACCAGTACTAAGCAATTAGTTTAAAGTTTCTTGCTCACGGAAACATCGGCTTGCCCCTGACAGGGTGTAAAACCAGACGGCCAGTAATCAATTTCCTTTCCTAAATTAACATTAATCAATACCGAAGATAACAGTAAGATCACTATAGTAATGTGAATTGGATGCTGTCCATTTGTATGTTCTATTCCTGACAACAACTTTAACATTTCACTAAGGATTAAAGAAAGAAATTTGTATTTGATATTTACTAGGGATGGCAACAAGTACCAATTTCAGTACTTGAGTACTTACTAATTCTTCTGATTGAGTATTTGATGACTCAAACGATTTTTTTAACATAATCATTATACAAAACCAGCTCAAATTTTCTTATAATAGACTAACTTTGGAATTAAGAATATT